ACTCCAAGGTCAAAAGGTCTTAAAGTTTTTGCGGACTAACAGACAAACAGATAAACAGACTGACGGACAGGGCTAAAACTATATACCCCCGAATCTTCTATACGGGGGCATAAAAATACTATACTCAGACCCACCCACCCGCGTTATACAGGCCTGAATTTGTGTGGTTTCTAAATTTTGCGTTCTGAAAACTGTATGAAAGTGCTAATCTGCAGCAGTTGATTAACCATGAAGAAAACTTCAAACCGTATGTTCCATCCAATTTTGCGTTTTGAAAACTGTATGAAAGTGCTAATCTGCAGCAATTGATTAAACATGAAGAAAACTTCAAAACGTATGTTCCATCCATCCCGTTTCAACACGGTGTCATGTTGCAAATTTTCAATTTATTGGATGGAAGTAAATACGATACAATAAGGACACATTATTTTTTCATGGTTGTGTATAATTGGGCAATAACCCTGAACCCTTGTCTAAGCGAAACAAAACAAATCATCTATTAATGATGTACGTAATGTTGTGATTTAAAATATGCAACTTGAAATAAATAGAATTGATTCCACGCACAGCTGGTTCTTGGGGATGGGAACTCCCCCCTCCCCCGCGTTCCTCTTCCACTTTTTATGCCCCCCCCTCGAAGATTCGGGGGTATATAGTTTTTGCCCTGTCTGTCTGTCTGTTTGTTTGTCCGCAAAAACTTTAACATTGCCCATAACTTTTGATTGGTTGGAGCTATGGCTTTCATATTTCACATGTGTATTTCTTGTGACAAGACCTTTCTTTGGGTACCACCTTTTGACCTTTACCTTGGAGTTTGACCAAGTTTTGCAAAATTTTATCCAACTTTAACCTTGGCCATAACTTTTGAACAATTGGATCTAAGGCTTTCATACTTCACATGTGTAATCCTTGTGACAAGTCCTTCCTTTGGATACCAACAACTTTGACCCTTTGACCTTGACCTTGGAGTTTGACCTACTTTTGAAAAACTTTAACACTGGCCATAACTTTTGAACCGTTGGTGCTAGGCCTTTCATACTTCACATATGTAATCCTTGTGACAAGTCCTTCCTTCGAATACCAACAACTTTGACCCTTTGACCTTGGAGTTTGACCTTCTTTTGAAAAACTTTAACCTTGGCCATAACTTTTGAACCGTTGGTGCTAGGCCTTTCATACTTCACATATGTAATCCTTGTGACAAGTCCTTCCTTTGGATACCAACAACTTTGACCCTTTGACCTTGACCTTGGGGTTTGACCTACTTTTGAAAAACTTTAACCTTGGCCATAACTTTTGAACCGTTGGTGCTAGGCCTTTCATACTTCACATATGTAATCCCTGTGACAAGACCTTCCTTTGGATACCAAAAACTTTGACCCTTTGACTTTGACCTTGGAGTTTGACCTACTTTTGGAAAACTTTAACCTTGGCCATAACTTTTGAACCATTGGTGATAGGGCCTTCATACTTCACATATGTAATCCTTGTGACAAGACCTTCCTTTGGATACCAACAATTGTAATCCATTGACCTTGACCTTGGAGTTTGAGCTTCTTTTGAAAAACTTAAACCTTGGTCATAATTTTTGAACGATTCGTGCTTCAGTTTTCATATTTCACCTGTATATTTCTTGTGAGAAGGCCTTTCCTAAGGCACCATTAATTTTGACTATTTGACCTTGACCTTGATGTTTGATTTACTTTTGAAAAACTTTAACCTTTTCTATATCTATTCAATGGTTACTGCTAGGGCTTTCATATTTCACAGGTATATTCCTCGAGACAAGACCTTACTTTGGGTACCAACATATTTGAGTTGCATTTGAGAAAGTTTAACCTTTGCTATAAGTTGCCAAACGAGGTTTTTCATTGATTTCTTTAGTGAAAATTACAAGTTTTACCAAACTTATAGAGTTATCTATCTTTGTTTTCCCAACTAAATTATGTTTTGTAAAAATCCATATAAATATTTATATGAATATGAAAAATCATTCAAATATGTTAAATGTAGGCGGTAGAACATTACTATCGTTCGCAGTTCTTTCACAATTACGTAGAGAAGCTTCCTTGCTTCATAACCATGCACTAAGTTTGTCTGCTTAACACCTGTGAGCAGTGTAAGTAATTTTCAAAGAATTATTGCACTTTCTCAATATGATCAATTCAGGTAGAAGCTCTCTTGATCATCTTAACCATAAACTTGGTTTGTCTGCTTAGTACCCATGAATAGAGAAGATTTTCAAAGAATCAATGCATTTTCACTATATGATCAAAAGAGTCCCACCCTAGCACCAGATTCCTTGAATTCAAAGTTGTTGTTCCCCTTCACCCATATATGCTACATGTATTTGCCAAAATTGGCTGAAATTAGTTAAGGGATTCCAAGCAGAAAAGAAGCTGAAAATGTTCAAAAATAAAACTGACAAACAATGGATGATGGCGGCAAAAACTGCAATGGGTTACCTGAGTGACTCAGGTGACTTAAAAAAAATTTGATTAGTTACTCTGAAATCAAAGTAAGGCAAAGTAGGGAATAATGAGGTCAAGGTAAGAAAATTATGCCACAGTTGAAAAGCTCTCATCATATGTATAAGTGGTTAAATTTTGGTTACATGTAATATATATCTGGAAGGACAGAAGATGGACGAGACAAACACTTTATGCCTCAGCCATATTCATGGCAGGGCATAAAATGTCAATGATATAATTATGAAAAGGCTGAATTGAAGGCCACAACAAGTGTGTTCTTCTTTTCAAGTAGTTTAAAAAAAATCTGCTTCTCAAGAATACAAAAGCAGGTAGGCTAATATAGAAGCACAATGTGTTCCCATGTCAATTCCAACAAATTGTTGTGTGGTAGTCAGACAGGTTCAATTGCTGGTGACCAGATAAGTCAGTTAGTAGAGCACCTGAATGGAGATCCTTAGGGGCCCAGGTTTGAATCCCAGTCCAGTCCTTCTCATTTTTCTTCTGTTATATTTGCTGTCAATATTGCCATGCCTGGAAGTGAGATGTGAAAGACAGCCTGGGTCAGTGTCTTCTGTAAGGAAGACCTTTAAGGAGGAAGGAATGGCAGTCAGATTAGTTTGATCACCAGTGGCAAGATAACTCAGTTTGTAGAGTGTCTGATTAAAGATTCAGGGGGCCTGGGTACGGTTTGGTCCATCAAATTTTTCTCCTTTTCTGTTACAGTTGGAAAACCTGTCCCCTAAGTTGACAAAGATATTGTCAAAGCCATACTCATCTTTTCAATATCAAGTTTAGAGAAACTGTGTAGAATCAGAATGATTCTTATTAAAGTGATTTTGAAGATGATTTATTGAATACATGTATTTCCAAGTTCCACGTTGATTGAAGCAGAAGTTGTTCATGAAGTCAAAAAGCCTGCTTTAATTTATTGTGAGGAATCTTTTGATGCTGTTGACTTTTGGAAAATGTGATTTCAATTATCTAAAATTTTTTGACTGTTTGAAAATCTACATTTGATTATCACCACTTCTTCATTATGTTATATTACTTCAGACATTTCTCCTTCACAGCAGTTCATATTATACATTTATTGACTGGGTTCAAGGGCAATATGTGTTTTGTTAGACCCAAGAACCAAACTGTTTGCCTGTGGCCATGTTTTGTCGGACCCAAGAACCAAACTCTTTGCCTGTGGCCATTAGGGCGAAGGCAAACAGTTTGGTTCGAGGGGTCGACAAAATGCTTTCTGCCAGAGATCACAGTCAATAAATGTTTTGGTATGCCTTTTTTTTGGACATGCAGAACTTATTCCACTTTAAAAAATAACTTTGGAAGAGAGCACTATCTCAACATTATCAATAACTATGATCAGAGGAAAAATGTAACTAAACTACGCATTTCTGCACATCAATTAAATATTGAAAGGGGAAGATATGCAGGTCTTCCCCCTGAATCTAGAAAGTGTTCTTAATGTAATATGCAGGAGGTTAAAGATGAACAGCATTTTTTGCTTATATGTCCAAAATATAAGAATGAAAGAGTGCAATTAATGGAAACAATCTCAAAAATCAACCCATTTCTCTTCTTTGACACCTGCTGAAAAACTTGTATGGATTTTGAATAATGAAAATAAAGAAATTTTATGCTTACTTGGAAAATTTATTTCTGAAAATGGTAAAAGAACCAGTGTATAAATACATCTGTCATCATGTACATGCATGGTTTTTCTCCAATTTTATTTTATTTTTTTAATATTACAATTTTAAAGGGAAAAAAACCCATACAAATGTATAAATACATGTATGAACATGTTGTAGCATAACATATTTGTATTGTCTTGGGATCAATGACAATAATTTGGACACTTGACACTGGTATTGTCTATGATTATTACTGCATGAATACAATGTTATATACTGTTTATGTAACTGTATATATATATATATATATATACATATATATATATATATATATATATATATATATATATATATATACATATATATATATATATATATATATATATATATATATATATATATATATATATATATATATATATATATATATATATATAAAACAATGTATATTGTGAATTATGTTTAAATTGTGCATTTACATATGTGGAAATGCCTCTCGGGGCCCTTGATTGGTAAATAAAATATCTTGTATCTTGTACATGTATCTTGTGCTGGCTTCCATGATGTAACTTTCCTTTTTTGCACTAAAACTCGCTCAATTCTGTCACTGTCAAACACCAACGAATGCAAATCCTGCTCATGGTTTGACGTAAGTGGTCCAATATCTCATCGACAGGTCCAATATCTCACTCTACGGTCCAACTTCGATTTTCTTTATGACCACTCAGTAAAACATTGGAAATGTTAGACTTTCTTTAGTATAGATTTGTATAGGAACCAACTTTTAACCGTAAAACAATTTTCTTTAATTCACAAAGTAAAATCTGGAGTCAATATACAGTAAGTAGAGAAATAAAAACAATTTATATTCAAGTATAAATAGATTTTTTATTTACATCTTAAAATGTATGGTAGAACCACAAATATCACACACATTTTATAGAACTGGACGGCTGAATTTTGGATTGAAGCATTCTTAAATGTTTCAGATTTTCTTATATAACAATAGTTACACTCATAACACCAAAGATTTCTCAAAAGGAAAAAAAAACAAACATATTTTTGAGAATTCACATATCAATAAGACATATTCCTGAACATAACAGAGACTGTCATTTCAAACATTGTAAATCTCTTTCTCTCACACAAAGAACGTACTGGTACACTAAATTTCCTGGATGCACATCACAGAATTACAATAACTTCTCATGGAATTCATATACACTTCTTTTGAAGTAGAGAATAAAATTCAATATGTGCACAAACTTTCAATGTGAGTGAGTTACAAAGTTATAAAATACTGTTTTCTCTAGCAGCAACCCGTTCTCACTTCAGTAACAGGCTTGGATCTGTGACTGAATTAGACAGGGTTGTATTTTTAGTTTGTATTTTGGATCCTAAACGGTTGTATTTTTTAGTCATGAAAAACTCTAGCTCCTCTTCCCTCTTCTCTCTGAAAAAAACAAAATCACAGTTATGTACAACAGAAAAATTAGATATCAAAATATCACAAATTATCCATGTTTTTTGAATGGAAACATCTGATTAAATATGTACCCTCCACAAATATTGCAATCATATTAATTATCAGGTAAGTTTTTCCTGCATGCAAGTTTTGTTCACAAATTGAAGTTTTGCCACTGTACTTAATGTTCAATGACCCTTTGTTAAGGGAGATAACTCTAACTGGGATAAAAATGTCTATTATTCCTTTATAAAACCGTCAAGTTAAAAGTCATTTCTGTCAAATTTTGTTTAGCACAGTATGCTAAAATTGTGAGCATTTCAATTACTGTAAAAGCAGAAATATTCGTTTGCGATTAAATTTCATATATTTCATTGTTAACAATTGTCAACGAATTTAATCCCATATGAAATTTTTATATGACTATATACTGAATAGAGCTTCTTTCGAGAGAACAAAACTTAATGCCCACAAAACCTTTTTAAATGACAAATCAACGAAATTTTAACACCCCCCCCCCCCCCCCCCCATTGTGCTTCTACAGTATAAATTAGGTTTCTTTTTAAAAATCATAAGCTTTAAAGCAAAATTTATACAAGTGAACAGAAGAGAGCTGAAACTTAAAACAATAACCCCTGCTTTACCTTGGCACTGGCCCGTATGTCGATACTGGAATGTTTGTTGATGGGAGCTTGTTTCCGTGTGGGAAAGTGTCACTGAAATTTATTTTTGACAATTCTTAATTAAAGCATATTCTATCATTGTTTGAACATATGCATTTTTTAAATTTCATTTTGTTCAATTTTTTTTTTTTCGCAATGCACTACAACATATACTATTAGCTCTGTTTATTTCATTAACTTGGACAATAAATTGCGTTAATTTATAAAACAATACCAGTAGCAGATCTAGAAATTTGAAAAGGGGTCTTAACTAAAAAAAAAATAAATAAAATATCAAATATGAATACAAGTGTCACATTCCTAATCTTGAAATTGAATTGAATTTAACCAACTCTAATCACTTTGGAAAAATAATAAAAACGAAAAGAAATTGATGAAACTCACGGTGCAACTTTTTCTTCTGTTGGAACTTTGGGGTCAATAATTGCAAACTGTGCAGAAACCATATCTGGGGTCAAGATCATTTCAGAGCTTTGTGTGAAGTTTTCATTCTCCTCCCTGAGAAATAAGACAAAGAAGTCAAAGATTTAACTAAGGAAGAGTTATCATTCACTACGAAACATACAATACACTTAAAATTTGGTTTGGAGTTGTATGTTTACATATATTTGACAGATGAAAAATAATTCTTATTATTAAAGGCAAAAAATAGAAGAAAAAAAATTGCAGTGATTATCATATTTGATTGCAGTGTGACTGATCTTTACACTTGTTACTGAAAGAGAAGGAAATTTTTGCAACGAGATAGTCTCACATAATTAAGCCAAAATAGTTCTCATGAATAAAAAGGGATTTACAGTAATCTTGATGAACTGTAAAAGAAATATAAAATGTAAGTTCTTCTAAACTGTCCATCAATCAAACGACAAATTGCGAACACTGGGCCTTACTCTTCAATGTTTTGTCTGTCATCCTCCGGCAGTTGATCAAGCAGGACGGGGACTTCCTCTGGAAGTAGGTCACTACCGAACTGGTCATCCCTGTAACAGACAGACAAGCTAACAATTTAATCATATATAAAATCAATAAACAATTACTATCAAATTGGTTGTCCCTGTCAAAGACAGATACACCAATAATTTACTTAAAATTATCACTAAATCATAAAGAAACACATTTATACAATTACCAGTATTATTACATCATAAAAGCTGTATACCAAAACATAAATAATCATTGCTAGATATATCAAAACATTGAAAATACAATCTCATGCATTATAAAACATTAATGGAAATTATAACTAACACACATACCAGTATTTTCCATCAGTGTCCATCAGACAATTTTTACAACTAGTTTATATAAATGGTGAAAGAAGAAGCAACTCACCATCGTGGTACCCATACACTGGTCAGTGTGGGGGTGTTAGCGAGGGATGTCAGACCCTGGGAGGGAAACTTCTTCCATCCCATAATGCCTCGAACTACATCCTGTTATCAAACAAAAGTAAGATTTGTAGTAATAAAGGTGATATCTCTAGAAATGAGTCACAGTAATTCTTTGTCCATGTATCATACACATCATTTTCTTCTTGTCTGGATAGATACATGCATTATTAGCAGGTTAAAAAAAACAAAAAAAAAACAAAGATTAAAAAAATTACTGATGTGAGTTTGAGGGGCTTTGTAAAGTTACAATGTTAATTTTTAAGGAAAATTGGTCTCTTTGTACATTCAACAAAGAATTAAAGAAACAGCAGAGCCCTCAATATGAAAAAAAAATATAAACAAGGTATTATGTACAAAATGTATTGATTTTTAATAACTACCAATAAATACTTTTTACATTTTTAGATCAGGGTTGTGCCCTGTTCATAATATTGAAAATCAGCATGAAATATTGACTATTTTGGAAGATTTTGATTCTGACATATGACAGAAGACAATTCATGATGTAAAAATACATAAATGAGAGTATTATGTCATTTTTAATTGATATGTAGTTATCAGGGCTCCAACAGATATGCAATGCTCTGTCCACTAAATTTAAACAGGTCTGACTTTTCAGAAATTTACATGGTCAAATTAGGCCCATGGCATCACTGGACACCCATGGTTGATAATGCTTTGTTTTTCTTTCCATCACATTATGGAAACAGACACTAAGCATAATCCAATGTTGGGCTCTTTTAATGCTGTCATTGCCAAAACTCTTAAATTCGGGAAATATTTTATCTGCCTGAAACATCTGCATTTTCAAATGACCATGATAACTTACCTCCCTGTCCAGGTATCTCCTCTGGGTGGCGGAGTGGGGGTTAGTAGCAAAGTCCTTCTTGAAGTATGTAGGGATGGGACACAGGTGGAAGTCTGTGTCAGTCTCAGAGTAAGGAACGGGTGCCTGGAACACCTGTAGCCCAGGGGCAGGGTTCTATAACAGCAAACAGAAACCAGTAATGAAAAAAACATGATAAAAAATTGGATGAGTGGGGAAAATTTTTTGTAAATGTACTAGAGAAATATGGTAAGAAAAATTAAAGATGTGAAAAATTGATTGAACATTTTCAAAAGAATTTAAACAAAAAAATTCATGATCAAATTGAAACCAATAGTTAAGTGGAAGTTCAGATATTGGTTAAAATAACACCCTGTGTAAAGATTTCTTTTGTAGATCAAAATGTTACAAATTTCAGAATTCATTATCTATTCAATATTACGGTAGTAATTTTACTGTACTGCAACAAAAAACTCACAAAGATATGTAGAGATGGGTATTCTATTGGTTGGAACAGAGCCTTGGGTGGTACTAGGGCAACCAATGGCTGAGGTTTCTTCACAGCTGACCCCTCACGAGTCACTTCCTGTGTAACGTCTTCTTCTCCAGAATCTACTGCGACAACCTCAATCTCCTCTGTAGGTACAGTGATTCTGATACTCTCATCCTACAGAAAAAAGCAAATAATATATGTCAGCAAATGACAACAGGAACACCTACATGTAATTTATGTAGGCCTGGATTAAAAAAAATCATAGAATAAATATGATGTAACATTAGATTATGTGAGAGAGAGAGAGAGAGAGGGGTAGTACATGTATTAACTTACCTCTGCCCCTGTTCGGAGTGGACGTGCCAGTTTCGGGGCTACATACCCCCTGGAGGCCTCGTGGACCAGATGCTTATTGTAACCTAGCAGTGTGTAGTGCTTGGGAACCTTCAGATTAAAGTATGGTACTTTTCTCTTCACTACAACCTCAGATGGCTTATAGGGAACTTTTCCTAGTGCATCAGGGGCCTGTTGTGAAAGTAAACAATGAATTAATGCAACATCTACCACAGCCTTATTAAAATATATCTCATGAGCCTTATTTTCAAGTCTTTAACACCAAAAATGGAAAGAAAGCAACCTTAAAGGGGAGATCCTGGTAAGGGAGGTAACTCTGATAAATCACTGTCCCTTATATTACTTTTCCCCCATGCAGTACCTATGTAAAATTATGGGTTTTATTTCCATATTCTGTCCAAAACTTGTTAAAATTACAGAAAAAAATTCCATTTTAGTCAGTAAAGGGACAGTTTTTTCCTCTATAATTGTTAATGTCAGTGAACAACACGACTGGGTTAAAAAAAATGAAAATGTCTCCATCTTCAAATATCTATACATACAGTCAAGCCTTGTCATCTCAAACCAAAATTAAACTTCGCGATTTCCAATGATTTGCAATAACCAGGGTAATAAATATAAGGATTAAGTGATTGAGACTGACAACTCACTTTGACATATCCCTGGTATTCGAGATATCAGTGTTTGAGATAATGAACTTTAACTTAGTATATCTTACCATATCATCTTTGACATTGGGAGGGACGTAGGTGGGGAACGTGTACTTCTTGATTTTGTTGGCCGTTATCTGAATGTCATGAGGAATCAGTTCCATCTCCTCCTCTTTTTCCTTCTTCTCCAACAGAGCTGTTAATTTACAACCAAGTAACATGTAAACAAATTATTCACATCATAACTTTGTACATTGATCAAACTGTGATATACAAATAAATGTTCAGTAAAACCCCTGTCACACCGGGACTGCATCCTCACGGCGATCGCACGGTGTTCATAAAAAATGCAAAACGCCGAGGTGAGCACAGTAGAGTCTCCTACAGCGCCGTGACAACGCGGTGAGATCTCCACTGAACACGGTAGGGTCGCGTAGGGTCTCCTAGAACGCCAGGGGACGGCCCGCACTTTGGGCATGCACAAAGTACGCGCCGTGTGAATGCCATCTGATAAGAACGCAGTAGAAATGTAGAATGATCGCCGTAGCAGCGCGGTGAGATCTCCAACAACGCAGTGGGAGCTCCGTACGCACGCCGTGAAGACGCACATGATCGCAGCATGAACGCAGTGATAGAAGACTGTGCTTCCACGGAGATCTCGCGGAGTCCTTGGAGATGTCACTGCGTTTCTATCGAGCTTTTACGGCGCTTCCAATGAGATAAATTGTCCTAGGATTTTTTTGACTGCGATTACACAGCGACAACAAGGAGTTGTCACTGCGATCATTGCGCCCTCTTGGCATTTCTACCGCATCCGTTTGCGATCCCAATGCACTTTCATGGCGTTGTTAGAGCGTTGTCAGCCAGCTCACAAAACAAGAGCAATGGCCTCATATTTGACCAGCAATAATTCTAACGTATTTGTTGCACTCAGGGCCAGGAGCATGGGAGTGGAATTGGGAAGCAAAAAATTACACCAGAACTTGTTCTGTTGTTTCAGTGGAGTTGCGATGGAATTACTTAAATTTTATAACAACTTTTCAGTGTGTTTATTTTTTTATATTTATAATAAAATCAAAGGAAAAAACACATCTGAATTGATATAATTGAAAAAAGAAGGGTTTTAATTATAAAACTGTCAGTAATTTAGTACTAAATTATTCAAATAGATCATTTTTAATTAAAGAATATTTCTTAGCATAAGCAGAAGTCTTTTCGTCATGTGACTTGAATCTTTAAAAAAAAATGTGTTACACTCCTTCTGAATATATATCCATAGTGAAGAACGCATTATGAACGTATTGTGAACGCAGCAAGCGCAGTCAGAACGCCGTGAATGCGAGATGACAACTCCTAACACGCCGTAAAAGCTCCGCGGAAGTGCAGTCAATCACGAAGAGATTTCCATGGAAACGCAGTAGCAGTAGCACGCCGCGAGAACGCCATAGAAATGCGTGGGTTGCCGTGACATCTTCACATTGTAAAAATTTTACAGAAATTTGGGCAATTTCCCTGCAATTCCACTTTTTAAAATTTTTACAACGCCGTAATATCTCCGTGTGGACGCAGCTTGGTGTGACAGGGCCCTAAGTTTAGATGGCAAAGCAAAAATTCAGGCACATACAAGGGTAAAAGTTTGACAAGGTATGGATTACTCCTAGGGTTAACTATGCACAACATTTTTTCAGGATTTTAATTTCTGATTTGGGACCCTGGTTCCTATTCCCACCTTTTCTGGTTTCTACTTTGTAAATGTTTCAGTAAATTTTGATTTCTGATTTCAGACCCTGCTTCCTATGACTACTGGGAGTATATAATGCCCACCTGTCCTAGTTTCCACGTTCCTCTCTTGCTCTAGGATATCCTGTACCACTTTCTTCAGCACCTTGATCTTCCAGTTAGCTCTCAGGTGAATAATCACCTGTCAAAACAGAATTCAAATGAACAAATGAACTCCTGATCCAAGTTTATTTCCCATCTATAGTAGAAGATCATTACAGCAAAACAATTATGATGAATTAATGCTTTAAATAGCAAAGTGAATTTATTCCCTGCCATTTTAGAATATAATATGAATATGAAGATTATAACAAATTACATTTATAACAGAACAAAATTGTTCATTCCTGGTGCTATAAGTGTTTTTTTAGTATATTTATTTGCTGAACTTATTTATCATACATTATCGTTTACAGTCAAAAAACTGTTCATAAGTAAAATTTTGTATGGTAATATTGATCCAGATTCATAACTTTTACAAATTATGTTTGCTGTTGCTTATCTGAGTAATTACAAATAAAAAAAATTACCCAATAGTGAATAATCAAGCACCTAAATATTCATATTGAATTACCTTTCTGGCAGCTTGAGCAAATTTTCCCAGTGCAGCGTGACGTGTTGCCCATAGGTCGTTACTGTAAGTATCAAACATGGCTGTCTCTGGAGCTAAATCTGTGTTGTCACGGAATGTTCGCCTAAAAGTACACTTTGTTTCCGTTCTCTTATATTCTTCCTCAATGACTGGATCTCCACGCCGGTCATACTGTCAGAAAACAGATGATGCTATCAAAATCAGCTTATGAACCGTTAATGAATCATTACGCTGGTGCATGAGGTACATTATTAAACTTTATAAAATGTAATGTATTATAATAATTTTTTTTATTCAAAAGTAACAAGAAAGAAAATGGAACAAATACACCAAAAAACATCCAACTTTACAACTAAAATGTCAGACATTTTTCACTGACATTGGAAATTGCTGGTATTTATTTAAAAAGAATATTGAATTCAAATGTTTGTTTTCAACTACACTGTATACAAACTATCAAACCAAAGAAAGTCCGACAAATTTCACTTTTGAAAAAAATCAACGATAAACTCAGGAAACCTTACGTTTGATTCTAATAGGATTTCTGATATCTAAAATTATATAACAATATTCAATATACATGTAGTTTTAAATTGAATGTAAACAATTCTTTTATCTGATTAAGGCTGGTCATTTTCATACTTTCTCAAAATTCTTTATTGCACATTTCATTCCAATCTTGGCTAAATTTTTACACGCCTACTTTATATTCATTCCAGGACTGATCTCGTTCTTCTAGGATCTTGGCTCGGGCTGAATTTGTGATCTGATCGTCCCCGAGTTTAACCTGCCACCTGAGTTGATTCTGCCTTTCTTCGTAAACATTTTGTCTCACCTTGTGCTCAAACATAGCTTCCTGCAAAAATTAGAGTATAGTTTACAAGATTTTAAACATTGTGACACGAAAAAGTAGTGACTTTTAGGCTTCTTAAGTATAAAATACCCATTACTTTTAACAGTTTTGTAAAAAGTTTTTTTTTAATAACTTGTAATTCACAATTTAAAGAGTACGGTGAAAGGGGGGTATTAGAAAATTTTTAAATGTTAATACTAACTTTCATTTGTCTAGTGGCTGGTTTATTAGTTGACTGTTTTTGAGCTAGCACAGCTGAAATATTCAAAATGAAATTAGTCAGAATAAGTCTCAACATTACTTCATCAATCATACTTATAACTAAAATCTTATGGTAAATACTAAAATGACATGAACATGAAGAACTTTCTTAAGAAAACTTCAGGAATTTATAACAGGGGTACTTAAACACTGATTCAAACATGAGAGACCTTTTTTTGAAAATTAAGCAAAAAGCAACCTTATTGTAAACAAATTGTAAACATATTTCTTCACTAATCAGATCAGTCAATCAGTAAAACAACTCTTCACATACTGTCTCGGAGATCTTTGGCTCGGAGTTTCCCGGGCTCCTGGTTCAGGACTTGGGCCACAGCATACGGAGTATCTAGCTTTGGAGGAAACCGAACGCCATTGTACTCCACTTCCTGAATCTGTCAATAAAATACTATCAGTGTTACTCTAATACAAGTCAACACAATGAATGTTTTATCTCTTTTTTATATGATGTACAAAACAATGCTTAATCAGCTACCCCAAATTTCTCCAAGTTTGATTCAAAATGGATTTTAAAGAGGTAAAATGTAGAAGGAATAAATACCAAGCATTCATAGAACAAAGGAAAACAAAATAATAAATATATCTAAACAAATAAAAATCTTAAATAAAACATGCAAACAAATAAAAAACTGCACAATTTCACCTCTTTTCTTCTGATTCACTGATCCAAGTAACTGACTTACTTGTGGTGTTTGCTGGGAGCCTTTGGATTTAATCTTAAAAGACTTCTTTTTCTCCCTTGACCTATCTAATGGTGAGAGACATCTGGGATCTAGGATGTTGTCAACAATCCCTTGTGACTGCATAGAAATCTCCCTACAGAGGCAAATAAATATTTACAAGTGCCATTAGCAAGTATTCGCTTCAAAGAATTTCCTATTTATAAATAACTTTTACTGTATTCTGAAAGTTTTCAAGTCTTGCGCCAATATCTCTTTCTTAGAAAAGTATTTTGATATGTAAATTGTGAGTCAATCAGATTAATGACAAAAGTGTTTGCTACAGCAATAATGTATATGTATTTATCCCATGTTTACACCTTTAAACAGTGGATATTGGTCATATGATAACATATTCACATCTACAATTATGATGTCACAATGGTTTTTGTGTGAAACCTGGTGATTAAATCAAATGAAGTGGGTTTGTATATAACAACAAAGTAAAATGAGATAGCTGTGTGTAAAACACATGATAACAAGATGTGTTTGTGAAACACTGATGCCCCCGTATGGCAGCTTATGGCGAAGGTTAAAGTTTCTCAAATGCAAGTCAAAATCCAGGCCAAAAGACAAAAAATGTTAAATTTGAAAGCCCTAGCTGCAACTGTTCAAAAGTTATGGCGAAGGTTAAAGTTTTTTAAAAGTAAGTAAAACATCAAGGTCAAGGTCAAAGTTGTTGGTATCTAAAGGAAGGTCTTGTCACAAGGATTACATATGTAAAGTAGGAGAGCCCTAGCACCAACCATTCAAAATTAAAGCCAAGGTTAAAGTTTTTCGAAAGTAGGTCAAACTCCTATGTCAAGGTCAAACCATAAATTTGGTTGGTATCCAAAGGAAGGTATTGTCACAAGGATTACATATGTGAAAGCCCTAGCACTAACCATTCAAAAATTATGGCCAAGGTTAAAATTTTTCAAAAGTAGGTCAAACTCCTATGTCAAGGTCAAAGGGTCAAAGTGGTTGGTATTCAAAGGAAGGTGTTGTCACAAGGATTACATGTGTGAAGTATGAAAGCCCTAGCACAAACCATTCAAAAGTTATGGCCAAGGTTAAAGTTTTTCAAAAGTAGGTCAAACTCCTAGGTCAAGATCAAAGGGTCAAAGAGGTTGGTATTCAAAGGAAGGTGATGTCACAAGGATTACATGTGTGAAGTATGAAAGGCCTAGCACCAACGGTTCAAAAGTTATGGCCAACGTTCAAGTTTTTCAAAAGTAGGTCAAACTCCTAGGTCAAGGTCAAAAGGTCAAAGTGGTTGGTATCCAAAGGAAGGTCTTGTCACAAGGATTACATATGTGAAGAATGAAAGCCCTAGCTCTAACCATTCAAAAGTTATGGCCAAGGCTAAAGTTTTTCAAAAGTAGGTCAAACTCCTAGGTCAAGGTCAAAGGGTCAAAGAGGTTGATATCCAGAGGAAGGTCTTGTCACAAGGAATACACATGTGAAGTTTGAAACCCCAAGCACCAACTGTTAAAAAGATATGGCCAAGGTTAAAGTTTTTCAAAAGTAGGTCAAACTCCTAGGTCAAGGTCAAAAGGTCAAAGTTGTTGGTATCCAAAGGAAGGCCTTGTCACAAAAAATACACATGTGAAGTTTGAAACCCCAAGCACCAACTGTTCAGAAGTTATGGCCAAAGTTAAAGTCTCATAAAATTTTGCAAAAGTGGGGCAAACTCCAAGGTCAAGGTCATAAGGTCAAATATGATGGTACCCAAAGAAAGGTCTTGTCACAAGGAATACACATGTGAAATATGAAAGTCATAGCTCCAACCAATCAAAAGTTATGGGCAAGGTTAAAGTTGACAACAGACAGACAGACAAACAGACAAACAGATAAACAGACAAACAGACAGACAGGACAAAAACAATATACCCCCGGGATCTTTCGATCCGGGGGCATAAAAATAATCTCCCATTCTTTGTGGTTAGATATGATTTTTATCCAGCTCGTTGTGTTTTCTATTCCCTCACCAATGCTCGGAATAGAAAGCACACAACAAGTTGGATAGAAATAATATCCAACCTCAAAGAATGGGATATTCTATATTTATCAACTTGCAGTAGATTCATGGTATTTGGGTAAAATTGAAGTTTAACAAAGGAAGCAAAACATGTCCAAAAGAAAAGTATTTACCAGTACATTAGACAAAGCTGATTGACAGCCACGGACTGGGCACTTACTTCAATAGACCTGGTGTGGACACACCAGAAAAGGTGCACATGATTGGCTGGGAATTAAATTGGGAAATCGTCAGCTGAATCTTCATCAGTGCAGTCTGAAATTCTAGAGGAGCAAAGGTAACAGATACCTCTGTCTGTCCATGGGCCGGAATAATACCTACAATACACAGAATATAGTTATAAGTTACAACAAAAGATCAAGATAGTAAAATATTCAGATTATTTTAGAGCCCTAAAAATAAAGTATCGAAACATATGAAACACACAACATAATGTTTTTTTATTCAATGAAATCAACCCAAATCAACAGAATATATAACATACCAATTTCTGAATGATTCATTGAACATTCAGATAATTGATATTATGTTTATCTGAAACACAAAACAATTAACTTACACCAGTCTAATTCTTGTCCAAAAATAATCAGATGTCATTAGTTTATAAATCCTATACTTATTGGGTGAACAGTAAAGGAGGGGTGTATATTTACCACTCATTGGGTGAACAGTGAAGGAGGGGTGTGGTTGTACATAAATAAGCTGGTACTCAAAGTCAACTGGTCCCTCACATCTCAAGGGAAATAACTGTGTCATTCTGAAAAGCAATGTGACCATATAACTATGATTTCCTATCAGTTCTCACTTAGTTGTAGCTTAAACTTCAATGTGTATTGTTAAAGAAGGGAAATAACTGTATCATTCTAAAAAGCACTGAGACTGTAAAGCTTTGATTTCCTAGTATTTCCACTCAATTGTAGCTTTAGAATTCATTGTGTATAGTTAAAAGAAGTCCAAATAAATCTTAAACTACTTATTGATGTATTGTCTTACTTATGACCAACAGGTACGGGTGGGAAGTTGAACTGTGTGGGGAAGTCCTTGGTACTCATTACTGGATAAGCATGGATGGGAATCACAAGGTTTTCCTCCCCCTAATGAATAAAATTTTTCACTTTAGAAAAGGTTTTTATTTGCATGAAAATTCAGCAAATTTTGCTAAATAAATTAGAATTTTCAAATTAAACACAAGCACAGTTCATTTTTAAAAGTTTATTTTCATCAGTATTTTTGTAATTGTGAATAGTTTTGATATGAATTTAAAAAAAAAAAGAAAAAAAAATGTCACTGCATTGGATTTTTACTTACTGGACAATTAATTCTGATGCAGTCATAGTAATATCTCCATTCATCTGGACTGAATTCTATAGTACAGTCTATGGTCAACCCTGGCACTAAGCGTTCCTGATAAAATGAATAACAGAATATAGATACTGTAAAGTAAAAAAGGAAGCAAACATATCAGTCTCTTCAAAACAAATCTGTTCAACTAACATCTAGGTCAACTCATGAATGAGGTACAGAAAACAATTTTTCATTTGAGAGAAACTGAAAAACAGTACTTGGTCTAGCATGTATTATTCGAAATTCTTAGTAGATACTGAAAAATCACACTTATTGTTCTGGTTTATTTCAACAGTTCAAATTGTAAATCTATTAAAGAAATGTGATTTGTCTTTTTTTTTTGTATCTGTATACCAGTTATATATATACAAGAATTCAAAAATCATGTATTATTTTTCCACAATGATTATCATAGTTCTTGCAGTATTATTACTAGAACTGAACTGAAAACATTTGGTACAATAACTTGTTGATTCACTTACATTCTGTGAACATTTTCTACTAAAAACATGAATCCAACTGTATTGGTTAAGTAGAATAATAATTGCAAATCATTGCAATATGATTTTTATGCAAATCTGTCCACCTGAAGATTTTTTAAACCTGAAGGCAAAAATTCATCATTCAGCTACCTACACTGTTATCACACTGTGCATAATGAAATGCACTTCTTGTATACTTACAGTTTTCTTGTATTTTATGTAGAAGTATTTGGATTGTGGAGGAATAATGTGCATTCTAATGACTTCTGTTGAGGCATTGACAATCTGTAGGGACTGCACATGTTTCTTATCCACCTCAAATCCTCCAAAATGGATGATTGCAGGTTTAGCAAGGACACAAGCATTCTGTGACACTTTGGAATATATTTCTGAAAAAAAAAAAAAAACAAAATGGTGAAATGCTGTCATTATGCTTATACTAGATCTATCTGGAAATTTAGAACAGCATGTTACATTTAATGGCTGGCGTAATTGTCAATCTAAGAGAGAAAGGGCACAAATGTTATCGGATAGTATTCATTCTATGTTTTAAAAGGAAAATTAATAAACATGATGGCAGGTTGATGTTGCTGTATCAAAACACTACATGTAATTACTATTTAATCCTCTTATTTAAAAAAAAAAAAAACAGACATGGTGTGATATTTTTCTTAGAGATATGCATGTTATTCTGATTTACTTGTTTCTAGAAGATGGTTAGGAACGGTCTTCTCTCTCCGAGGTTCTATAAGTTCCATAGTTTCTACAAGTGGTAACTCTTTCGACCCCTCATGCAGTCCTATCGGGCCAGACACGGTCCGGCTTAAAGCCGAGACCGAAGGCATGACTAAAGATTTCTTATCTTTTCTACTAAGATAGAAGTGTAATTCCAGAGATTACATGTTTACACTGAAAACTCCTTGTTCGTCTTCACTTCTTACAAGGTGTCCGCCATATTGTTTATAGCAATCGTAATATCATTCCGCAAATGAAAATAGTGCTGAACCAATGAATGGTGTCTTTATTACATCAGGCAAAACTATGAAATTTTAAAAAATCTATTATTTTAAAGATTAATTATCACAGTCAATGTTTGCTTCATTTAGCACAAATACGCTTAAGTTTAATTTTTGAAGAATCTGAACTACTTTCTAGGAACGAAGAATCTCCAAGGAGATAAATGCGCTTCATCTCTCAGTTATCGTCCTTGAATCAATCTCCTGTGTTTGAAAATAAAAATGTTGTTGTCACACATGGCGGGAATGGAGTACCTTTGACATGCACAAATATTTCCATCAATTCAGGAGGTACGTCTTCGCAGCTAGGTTAAGGACTCCCATATATACGTCAGCCTATGCAGAGGTTTGGCAAAGCTATTATGACGTCACGATAAAACAATACAAATGAATCTCGATGAATAAATACTATATGTTCTTTTCAAAACGCACTAAATGCTTTCGTTTCTCATAAATGTTACAAAGATAAATGGATGTGCAACTTATCTTGCCGTAATAGCACTTAGCGTATGCAGAATGAAAGCAAGCTTGATCTCGCTGTACTTACTGAGATGACGTCATTTCTTAGTTTGACACGCAGTTTCTCTGTATTTGAGGCGTGGATCAAGCTTTTATCGTAGCTTGTAAAAATAAAAATAAATACGAAACATGCGTAGTCGGGCCAAAAGAGAGACATGTTCTAAAATATATTAATCCACATTTTATTGTCAAACTAAATTGATAATGTGTAGACTTTATATAAAGCCGTAGGGAGCACATTTGTACAGTAACGTGCTAGAATGACAGGTCGAGCCCCTCGAAAATATCGAAAGTTCAACGATATCCGCTTCACTATAAATTCTGAATTTTTAAACACGTGTAGCTATTATTGCTACTATTCTGAAAAGTGTTGGGAGCTGGTTGTACGTTATTTATTTATTCCGTAATCTAACATTATTCCAATGCGTATTACATTTTTGTCTGGAGTTTATAGAAAGACGGCTAAATTTTGAACAATTCTCGAGCATGAGGAAGTTGCTCCCAGCACTTTTCGGGTTAAGGAATTTGTCTCAAAGAAAATAAAATAGATTTTAAAGCGGAAAGATGCCCGTATATCGTTGAACTTTTAGGATCTTTATAGTACTACATATATGGTCCAATTTTAAACCTGTCACGTGACAAACAGCTGATGTAAGCGATGTCAGTTTGGCCGAACTCAGCAGATACCCGATATATACAAATGCGAACACCACAATTCACATTTATCAAAACTACTGCTGTTAAAAAAAATATTAAAATTGTATTCATTTTCCCTGAATATTTAAAGGCGTATATTTCATGGGCGTCCTTAACCTACCTGCGTTCGAATTTTACTGAATTAAATGAATCTGAACTGTTGAAGTAACTACTGTCGTCTGCTAGTTAATGGTGTTTTTAAATGCATTGTGAAGATGACACAAGTGACATGTACGTAAATACAGAGCAAGCTAGCCTCCCTAAATTCGTTCACATTTGACATTTCATAAACACTGTACTTACAGTCAACCTACTTATCGGTACTTTTATGTTTTTTTTTTTTGGATAGAGCTAGTGAGACAGGATAGTAACTATGACAACACATCCAGGCTTAATAAAGCGGCTCGATGAGGTGGTGGTGAATCGTATAGCAGCAGGGGAGGTTATCCAGCGCCCAGCAAATGCTCTCAAAGAAATGATCGAAAACAGGTTCTTATAGATATCAAAACAGAGTAAAGATGTCAAATGAATTCAGAGTTCAAGTGAGCTTTTCTGATAAAAATTAATCTGTAGTCTGTCATCATCTTTGGCATAATATGGCAAGAAATTAGCCCTGACTTTCATCCTTCCTTTAAGAGTTTGAAAGTGTTGCACTAAATTGACTTCAACAAACATGTTAATGACATGTTAGTCAGATATTTTTTTATTAATTTATAAGATTGAAATTATTGGCTGAGATCCAACATTGGAGTAGACTTTACTTTACCGGTCCCCAGATCCGCAAGCTTGTTGCACTATGACACTCGACTGGTTAGGTTAGCAGGTCCAGCACAATACCCTGATAAAGGTATATAGCTTGATAAAGCTATCTAGCTTTATCAAGGTATTACAAATACCTTGATCAAGGTATTTTATATAATGAAAATACAAAAAAAATCCTAAAAAAGAATAAATACTGAAAGTCGAGTTCTGAATTGTTCTCAGTAAATTCACTCATGCATGTAAAGTACTTAAACACAAAGAAATCAGTATAAAAGCATGTCATGTGAGGAGACATTCTTTATGCTGTCTTTTTGATACCTGAGTACTTTTCATGCACGAGTGAACACACTGACCACAACTTATAATTTGACTTATAAATTTAATTTTTTTAGGATTTTTTTTTTTTTTATTTTCATTACATAAAATACCTTGATCAAGGTATTTGTAATACCTTGATAGAGCTATATAGCTTTATCAAGCTATATTTATACCTTTATCAGGGTTTTGTGCTGGACCTGGTTAGTTTTGCACCCACTTGAGAGATTAGGGTTAGTCCTTGCACAAGTGTTTGACTGATTAGGGTTAGTCTTGCATACATCCGAGAGATTAGGGTTAGCCCTTATTCTGACATTATTTGACTGTTTATGGTTAGTCTAGCATATGCCCGGGAGATTTAGGTTAGTCCTCGCATACCATCCTAGAGAGGGCTAGTGACTCGTTCTTTTAGATCTGTATTTTTTGCAAGATCTTAATTCAGCTTCAATGGCATCTTGTTGGTTTGTTTACATGAAAAAAAAAACTAAGTACGAAAGAAACGACACTAAGCATGGCCACATGCGCTTTGTTGACAATTATTTTTTGTCGATTTTCAGAGAATGATCATTAAAACTTCGTTTAAAAATGAAGTTTTAAACTAAACTTTTAACCATAGAATTCGATTTTGTGGTCAAAAAGCCAAAAACCTTGTACTTTTTGAAAAAAATTTTTCGATGTGAACGATCTTATACATACTGAAGTCGCCTATGGTGACACTATAATTTAGCACATTTTTCTAGGGACCTGTAAAGTCGTTCCCAACATTGTAAAAAAAAAAATGCTATGTTATTATAATATTCACTTACTCCTGGTCTTTATTTTTTTCAGAAAAAGTATAGTTTTTCATCAGAATGAATTTTTATGTTAATAGAGTTGTTTTACTGTAGTAATTGATTGATATTCCTAGTTTGGATGCCAAGTCCTCCAACATTCAGGTGACCGTGAAACAGGGTGGACTCAAACTGCTACAGATTCAGGACAATGGGACAGGAATTAGGGTAGGTTAGAGCTGTTATTGAAGTAAATTACATAGTTTATGGCTCAGGACAGGAATTAAGGTAGGTTAGAGCTGTTATTGAGGTAAATTACATAGTTAAGGGCTCAGGACAGAAATTAGGGTAGGTTAGAGCTGTTATTGAGGTAAATTACATAGGTTAGGGCTTGGGACAGGAATTAGGGTAGGTTCGAGCTGTTATTGAGCTAAATTACATAGTTTAGGGCTCAGGACAGGAATTAGGGTTGGTTAGAGCTGCTCTTGAGGTAAATTACTTAGTTTAGGGCTCAGGATAGGAATTAGGGTAGGTTAGAGCTGTTATTGAGGTAAATTACATAGTTTATGGCTCAGGATAGGAATTAGGGTTGGTTAGAGCTGTTATTGAGGTAAATTACATAGTTTTAGGGCTCAGGACAGAAATTAGGGTAGGTTAGAGCTGTTATTGAGGTAAATTACATAGTTTTAGGGCTCAGGACAGAAATTAGGGTAGGTTAGAGCTGTTATTGAGGTAAATTACAAAGTTTAGGGCTCAGGACAGGAATTAGGGTAGGTTAGAGCTGTTATTGAGGTAATTGAATTACATAGTTTAGGGCTCAGGACAGGAATTGGGATAGGTTAGAGCTGTTATTATTCTCAAGAATTGTAATCAACTAGAAGCCTTGAAAAGAATTTAGTAGCTTTCTATATGATGACTGTAAAAGGTTGAATTCTTTGGTTGTAGAAGGAAGACATGGAAATTGTTTGTGAGAGATTTACCACCAGTAAGCTTCAGAAATTTGAGGATCTGAATTCTATAGCCACCTACGGATTCCGAGGAGAAGCATTGGCTAGCATAAGTCATGTGGCCCATGTTTCCATAACAACTAAAACTGCTGATTCAAAATGTGCCTTCAAGTAAGTGTCCAATTTGTGTAAGGCCAATAGATACGTGTATTATAAGATTCATTGTCCCTATGTTCACTTATATAACATTTTTATTTCACACAAAATGATTTTTCAAAAGAAATCTTATTTATATTATTAAAAATATATACGTAGAATACTTTGCAAGGCAAAATTTGACAGAAATGGTCATTTTACTGGACAATTTTGTAAAGGAATTATAATCATTTGTCCATCCAACTTAGAGTTACCAGGTCAATGAATTTGAACTTTAAAAAATTCTTTTGTAAAACAATATGTATGATAAAAAGCAGAAAATTGTTTAGAATTATTTGTTGTTGATCCAACATTTGAAACGTGTACTATCCTTTTCTAAGGGGAAGCTATGTGGATGGGAAATTAAAAGAAGCAGTGAAACCGTGTGCTGGAAATGTGGGAACTCAAATCACCGTAAGTGTTAAACTTATTGTAAAGTCAGAATTGATGTGTATGTGTCCCAACTTAAACTTATATCTTAATGTAAACTGATACCTCTGCTTGAACTTCTCCTCAGATTTCCTGTACATGATGAAACTGTAATAAACTTTAATGAAAATGTAGGGGTGGGGGTGGGGGGGGGGGATGGGGGATGGGGGTTGGGGGGGGGGGGTAGGGGTGAAGATATGACATGCTTTAATTCCTGCAATATAATTAAGGCACACTTTTAATGTAACTATGTTTTGTATTTAGGTAGAAGATTTGTTCTACAACATATCGACCAGAAGGAAGGCATTAAAGAGTCCCTCCGAGGAACATGCCAAAATAGCAGAGGTGGTCAGCAGGTAACATTTTTACATGGGCAATAATCCTATTTCTGCTAGGTACACGGTTATTTTCAACATGTGTTATTTTCACCTTTTCACATTTGCAAACTATTTTGCTCCATTTTAAATTTGCCCAGACACAGTTATATTAAGGAATCTCTGTCTAAATTGCTGGTAATGCCAGAGCATCAATGAAAGTTGGAAAACTGGGATAATTTGCATAAGGGGCAAAGCCCGTTATGGATAAATTATTCCATATTTCTATGAGTTGTTGATGTCCCTGGCATACCCAACAAATTAGACACTCTGTCAGTGATTTTTTTGTATTTTCATTTATATGTGAAACAAAAATATAAATTAAAACTGCTGTCTAATAGATTTCAAATACCAGAGGCATTCCATGTTACCAGAATTTTTGGACGATATATCGACACTTTTTTCTGTTTTTTTTTTTTTGGTTGCCCTGTTTAACAAATCGACCATTCTAACCATTCTAAGGCTCAAGTTTACGAAAAATGCCCCCAAATCATAAAATTTACGTCAGTTTTAACGCAAGTCTGTGCCATTTTGGTAACTTTTTTAATTATTTCACCGAGAAAAAATAATAAACAATAAAGAACCAAAGATACAGTACCAACCAGACCCAACCTGACACCTAAGCAGTCCCAGAAAGCAGTCCCAGGGACTGCTTTGGGACTGCTCTGGGACCGCTGTGGGACTGCTCTAGAAAGCAGACCCAGCAGTCCCAGCAGTCCCTGGGACTGCTTTCTGGGACTGCTTTGTTCACTCATGCATGAGAAAGGTTCTGAGTGACGTGATAGCTCCGCCCCTTGTGTATTCTGAATTTGCAGGCTTCCTGTTGTTGTTTTGTTTACTTTCAGCAGAGAGGTGTTTAAGATAAAAAATAATAAGCAAGGATTTCTTACAAAATTTTAACAAGTAGAGATAGATAAACATGTAATTACCATATGTCTTAGGAGCTCTAAATTTACACAATCATCGTCCAGAATTAATTTTAAGAAAAATGAAAGTAGTTAAAAAGGGAAGTCAGGAGATGATTTTTATCCCTTAAATTAAATTTTAATACAGGTGTTTGAAACAAAATTATGAAGGCCTATTTAATTAATTAATGCTATCAAATTATGTACTCAAAGTTTGCATTAGCACTATTTAAAAAAAAAAAAAGCAAACTTGTTATTACAGTAAGATATTCAGAGGGACGTACTGTACTGGATTTTTTTTAATTGAAAAAACTAAAAACCATGCTTAAAAAAGGGCATTCCATGCTATTTTTTACCGTCCTGAAATAAAACCTAATAATTTATTAAATGACTATGAAATAAAATTATTCTTCCATTCTTCCGTCATATAAACAATGTGCACAAGTATTGGGGGATTTATTTATGAATTAGTTTTTAATTTATAAACAAGTTATTAAAAAAGTACATTTATTTAAAAAATAAACATTTGAAAATATCGGGAATTGTGTGGTGTCGACACCTGAAGTTTCAATCGCCTTTGGGCATGATTAGCAGAAAGTCAATGAATGGTATCAGTGTTACACATCACTGAACATGCTGGTCAACAATGACACTATTTTTAATCCATGAACTGCAAAAAATCTTTGTTTCAATAAATGTATATAAATTTATTTTGGGATTAATTAATTTTAAACATAATCTGAGGGTTCTATTTGCATGATTTACAGATGTACACTCGAACATTTATATTATACAACACTTAAAACTGGATGTTATTGGTTTCTGTTACAAAGGAAATCTAACGATAATCAAATTGGCAAGTCAGTGAAAATAATCATGACTGAAATATAATACTCAGCAAAATTTAGCAAAGAATTTTTCAAAAGCCCCAGTACTTTCCAGTAAGAAAAATGCATTCAGAGTATAGTATGGGAATTGGCCTTGCTCTATAATTATAAGATCTATTTAAAGATAATTCTAATAGAAAAAATAATTCAACTTTAATTTTCTATAAAAATAAATAAATATGGAAACAATATCAATCACAGAAAATAAAGAAATTGATTTATTTTGGTGAAAAATTAATATACCATGGACCTGTGTTTAAATAATCATATTATCAGTAGGTGTGAACGTCTTCTTCGTTCAATATTTATTATTTGTTTGTATACACGTACTGTGATTTTCTTAACAGTTCAGAAATGATTGTCACATAAGAATGGTTAATATTTGTTGTTACTGCTCAGAAAGAAATGCATCAATTTCCACTGCCTTTTATAGTTACTTTGTTTATTGGTAATCTCATTTCTGAGTAAGCTCCGCCCATTAGATTACTAGTGATTAACCCCGCCCACTGGGACTGCTGGGACTGCTTTCTGGGACCGCTGGGACTGCTTTCTGGGACTGCTGGGACCGTTGTGGGACTGCTGTGAGACTGCTCTGGGACCGCTGTGGGACTGCTCTGGGACTGCTTTGTTTCAGGTTGGGTCTGGTTGGTACTGTATATTTCATTGATGTCTTACAAATTAAGTTCCATTAAATATCCGTCGATATACAAAACAAAATTTATTTAATCACCTCGTCATAAATATGTCTCATCAAAATATATTTAACAATATGCTTTCTGCGTCCATCTTGTGAAGTTGGAAGTCGCAATTGTTCACTAAAAATAAAACCGCAACCATATTGACGTTTAATTTTAAAAATACGGAAAAGTTTTCACAAGTCCAATTGTGGAAATAATCATCATCTTTTTACGATTTATGTGTAACAATTAATTAAAATAATCTACCTAAATATTTTTTCATTGTCTGATGAAAAAAAATATAATTTTAAGTGATATTATGAAGTTGACTTAGACATCAATACAAAATAATAATTTTTTTTTTTGAAATAATAGAAGTGAAAACTTCCATGTACCCAAGGGATACACTGAAATATTCAACAATGGATTCCGTAAGAATTTTAATTGTCTGACTGATAAGGGAATATACACAGTGTACCAAAAGGTGTTAACGCCTGTGTTGGTTCAACCACCTGCGGGCATGATTAACTGATCAGGCGCCGTAATAGGAGTATCAGTGCTACACATCATTGAACAAAGCTGTGAAATTCATTATGACTGTTTAATTGCGAATGTACTCTCAATTAAATTTATTTTTACAACAATATCATATGCAAAATTATAGCATGAAAATACATGTATGATTAATTTCATTTGCTTAGTAGTGAATGTAATAGTCATTTGTGTGCTTTAGCAAATCCCTAGACAACAAAATATAAAAATGGCGGTCGTTGAAGTGGCTGAATGCTTGAATATTGTAAATAATGTCTAAATGAAATATATTAAGATTGTGTCCAAGATGTTCTTAAATGGAAATAATTATTGCTAATTGGTCTGGAGCATTTCCCTAATTTATAGCTGTTGTATACTACCGTAGATATGGATGTTGTTTAATGACAGAAACTATGACAGCTAGCATTGAACAGGCAAGTTGGAGAAAATACGTAGCACAATTCAACAAAGTTTCAATTTAAAGAAACGTTTTTATACATAAAACACAATGAGATTGTCTTACACATGAAAATAGTACTTTATTTTCTCAATACGATAATATTATGGGATAAACCAAGAAGTTTACATGTTCTGATACGTAGTTTCTACGAAAGAATTTCTAGAAAATCAATAAACAACACCTCGCCCTATGTAAGGATTTTCTTAAAAAATTTAGGCTAAAAATGAGCCTTTCGACCTATGTACCCCAAAAATTACGGGAATTTTCATAGTGCCCGTTGGCTGAAGTCAGACACAAAGACAGCCCTGGGAGTTTGACATGCATATTAGGCACTTGACCTTTCACCTGGCAAAATTTACATTTAGTTTTGACTATCTAGAAATTAAAGCTAAAAATGAGCCTTTCGACCTATGTACCCCAAAAATTACGGGAATTTTCATAGTGCCCGTCGGCTGAAGTCAGACACAAAGACAGCAGCGGGAGTTTGACATGCATATTAGGCACTTGACCTTTCACCTGGCAAAATTTACATTTAGTTTTGACTATCTAGAAATTAAGGCTAAAAATAAGCCTTTCGACCTATGTACCCCAAAAATTACGGGAATTTTCATAGTGCCCGTCGGCTGAAGTCAGACACAAAGACAGCCCTGGGAGTTTGACATGCATATTAGGCACTTGACCTTTCACCTGGCAAAATTTACATTTAGTTTTGACAATCTAGAAATCAACACACTAAACTTTCAAAGAGTTTTCAGAGAAAACAGTTGGAAATGTAAATATTGATATGTAATTTTATTTTGACAGGTATGCAGTACATAATTCCAGTGTGGGATTCACACTTAAGAAGGTAAGTCATGTACCCTCTTAAAATGCTACCAGACTGTGGTATACTTAAGGCTCAAGTGAGCTTTTCAATTATCCCCTCTCTTAGGGGGAGATAACTGACAGCAAAAATAGTGTGATGTCGTTAATTAAAAATCTGAAGAACCACTGAGTCAAAATAGAAAACAAAACTTCAGTGAAAGCTTCCTTAAATTAGTAAATGTAGAGTATTTAAAATTTGTTCAAATCGTGGCCCCTGGGGGTAAGATTGGGCCACAATGGGGGATCTAAGGTTCACATTGGAATAAACTGGAAAATCATATTTTCAAGACAAGAATAGCAGGGCCATGCAGCCATCCTCAGGTAGTGCAAATTCAAATTTCATTACATCATTGTCCCCAGGGGTATAGTGGAATCACAATGGGGAATCAAAATTTCACAAAATAAATATTGAGATTCTTATCTTGCAATTTTAATTTGATTAAAAATGCATGAAAAAAAGGGGTAAAAGGGCTCTATATATGTAAAAGTTGAAACATGTATGTGTATTAGTTTTTAAACGAGAGTGTACCAAGGAAATGCTTGTGTCATTTGCTTTTTACTTAAATATGTAAATAAATGTAAGATTGGTCAGGTATTTTTTTTTTTTACATGTTTCCAACAATCCTCCAAAAGCGCTTTTAGTTCTGTTTTTATTGCAATTGTCAGTCTACACAGTCCATTGTGGAATATTGATCCCTATAGTATACTGAAATGCAAAAGAAACGTAACAATCAGTAATCTACAAATATTTGATTTTTTTTTATCTAACGATTTTCAAAAATGAATACAGTAAGGTAAAACTCGATTTTAAAACATCAGAGATTTGATAAAAATGTTAAATGATTATCTTTTAGAAAGTAATGCATGACTATTAAAACACCCCCAACCCAGCCATTCAATTACAGCATGCAAGACTACCATGTACAACAGTTGCAGCTTGATTTCTATGATGCAATAGGTTCATCAGACTCGAGATCTGAGCGAAAGAAATATTCTTTGAGGTTGAATTTTCTCTTACCTAACGCAGTAAAGTAACCCTTGGAATTCCTGTCCAAGGACAGCCATTCATGCTAATGATAAGTAAGAGCCTCTTGAGTCATGATGTGGTGCATATTTGCATCTGCAACTCGCCATCACCTTTATTTTGAGATTTTCCAGCTAGAGCAATGGAAAAGCATTTTTAAGTCATTTGTAGGAAGCCTTGGCATCGCTTATGGAAAAGAAAGGAGAATTTATTTTTCGGAACATTGCTGCATTACTTATGATGGACAGGTACAAATCCTTAAAACCCCATATTATTGCCAAATGTTTTGTTAAACATGCAATTTTTTATTTCTGTTAAGCGGGCTCAACCTTAACTTCCGGTATCGGTATGAAAATCATTCAACCGTTAAATTACCGATATTTACAAAGTTTAAGATGTCCTTACTTTTTAGCTACAAAATTATATCCTTTATATGATATTTCCCCCTAAAATAGGATGTTGCGTTTCTTTTGCGTTTCAGTATATTTATACCCCCGCTCCGAAGGAGAGGGGGTATACTGTTTTAGCTCACCTGAGCCAAAGGCTCAAGTGAGCTTTTCTGATCAAAATTTGTCCGTTAAGTGTCTGTCGTCGTCGTTGTTGTTGTAAACTTTTCACATTTTCATCTTCTTCTCCAGAACTACTGGGCCAATTTCAACCAAACTTGGCACAGAGTATCCTTGGTTGAAGGGGATTCAAGTTTATTCAAATGAAGGGCCACCCCGTCTTCCAAGGGGAGATAATTGCGAATTCATGAAAAATTTATGGCATCTTTCAAAAATCTTCTTCTCAAGAACCACTGTGTTAGAAAATATGAAACTTATGTGGAAGCATCCTCAGGTAGTTTAGATTCAAGTTCATACAAATCATGACCCCCGGGGGTAGGGTCGGGCCACAGTGGGTGATCAAAGTTTTACATAGGAATACATAGGGAAAATCTTTAAAAATCTTCTTCTAAAAAGCAACAAAGCCATGATTGGTCATATTTATATGGAAGCATCCTCAGGTAGTGAAGATTTAAGTTTGTTCAAATCATGACCCCCGGGGGTAGGGTGGGCACAGTGGGTGATCAGTTTTACATAGGAATACACATAGGGAAAATCGTTAAAAATCTTCTTCTCAAGAACAACAAAGCCATGATTGGTCATATTTATATGGAAGCATCCTCAGGTAGTGTAGATTCAAGTTTGTTCAAATCATGACCCCTGGGGGTAGGGGTGGGGTCACAGTGGGCGATCAAAGTTTTACATAGGAATAGATAGGGAAAATCGTCAAAAATCTTCTTCTCAAGAACAGCAAAGCCATGATTAGTCATATTTATTGGAAGCATCCTCAGGTAGTGTGGATTCAAGTTTGTTTGTTCCAATCTTGACCCCCAGGGGTAGGGTGTGGCCACGATGTGCGATCAAAGTTTTACATATTAGGAATATGTAAGAAAAATCTTTAAAAATCTTCTTAAGAACAACAAAGCCATGATTGGTCATATATATATCCTCAGGTGGTTTAGAGTCACAGTCAAAAAAAAAAAAATATGTAAGCATCCTTAGTTAGTGTAGATTCAATTTTGTTCTAATCATACCCCTGTCCCTTTTAGGGGTAGGTCAGGACCACTTATGCATTTAAGCATTGCAATACTAAACTGTTTTTGCTTTTTTTCCTAGCCACAGTGCTCAGGTGAGCGATGTAGCTCCTGGGCCTCCTGTTTATACCCCGCTCCAAAGGAAAGGGAATATACTGTTTTACCCTTGTGTGTCTGTCTGTCCGATGTGTATCTGTCTGTCTGTCTCTCCGTAACAAATTTTTTCGTCGCAGTTTTCTCAGCAACTACTCAGTACCATGTCAGTACAATACATAACAAATTTTGGTCGCACTTTTCTCAGCAGCTACTCACTGCAGAGGCTTGAAAATGAAGCACACTCTTTTTTTTTAGGCATGCCATATGGTGGGATTCATTTTTGTACAAATCCGATGTCAACTTGTTTATCCGTGTGTATGTCCCTACAATACATAACAAATTTTGGTCACACTTTTCTCAGTAACTACTCATTGCAATTGCTTGAAATTTTAGTACGCTGTTTGTTTAGGCATGCCATATGGTTGGATTCACTTTTGTACCAATCTAATGTCAACTTCCTGTTTATCTGTGTGTATGTTCGTACCATACATAACAAATTTTGTCGCAGTTTTTCTCAGCATTTTCTCATTGCAGAGGTATGAAATTTTAGCACACTGTTTGTTTAGGCATGCAATATGGTGGGATTTATTAGCTCTTCTGAACCAAAGGCTCAAAGAGCTAATGCTATGGCCATTTGTGCGGTGTGCGTAAACTTTTTAGAATATGGGCCATAACTCAAGAACCCCTTGGCCAATTATTGTCAAATTTGTCACAGGGTATCCTTGGCCCAAGGGCTCCCGTTTATACTAAAACTATGTTGTGACCCTTAAACAAGGGGAGAAATGAGATAATTAGAAAAATAGAAACAAAAGTACTGGTTGCTAAAAAATCTTCTTCTCAAGAACCACTGGGCAGATTGTCACCAAACTTACACAAAAGGATGAGGATATGTTGTAGATTAAAAATTGTTCAAGGCATCACCCTGAGGCATAGGGCGTGGTCTCAGGGTCACTTAAAAGTTGACCAAAAATTACATTTTATCAAAATGTTGATACTTTGTTTACTATAAGGACTAGGATCATCAAATCTTGTCAGTTGATGCATCTAAGGACCTCATATCATGTGGGTCTTCGATGTACGTCAACTAAAATGTAGGTCACCTTGACCTACTTTTTGAATTTTTCAAAACAATTAAGGTCATTAATTCGATTACTGAGAGGTTTAGAATCATTAAATCTTGTAAAATGATGCATCTTGGGGCCATAAAATGTATTTATTAAAAAGTAGGTCACAGTGACCTTCTTTTTTAACTTTGCAGGCATCCGATTTCAAAGCATTTTAGTGGCATAATTTGGACATTTTAAGGCCTATGATCATAAAACTTCGTAAGTTGATGCATCTTGGGTCCTCGAAAAACATCAACCAAAAAGTAGGTCACCGTGACCTACTTTTCAATTTATATGACTATAATTGAATATTTCGGGTACTAATTGGCTTAGAATCATCAAACTTTGTCAGTTGATGCATCTTGGGTCTTCGGAGTAGGTCAACTGAAAAGTAGGTCACCATGACCTACTTTTCAAAATTTATGGCTTTAATTAAATATTTCGGGTACTAATTGGCTTAGAATCATCAAACTTTGTCAGTTGATGCATCTTGGGTCCTCGGGGTACAACAACTGAAAAGTAGGTCACCATGACCTACTTTTCAATTTATATGACTATAATTAAATATTTTCGGGTACTAATTTCCTTAGAATCATCAAACTTTGTCAGTTGATGCATCTTGGGTCTTAAGCTTTGGAGTAAGTTGACGAAAAGTAGGTCACCATGACCTACTTTTCAAAATTTATGGCTTTAATTAAATTTTCAAGTACAAATTGGCTTAGAATCATCAAACTTTGTCAGTTGATGCATCTTGAGTCCATGGAGTATGACAACTGAAAAGTAGGTCACCCTGACCTACTTTTGAAATTTTATGACTGTATTTAATATTTTGGGTACTGTTTGGTTTAGAATCATCAAAATTTGTCAGTTGATATATTTTGGGTTGTCGGAGTAGGTCGAATGAGAAGTAGGTCACCGTGACCTACTTTTCAATTTATATGACTATAATTGAATATTTCGGGTACTAATTGGCTTAGAATCATCAAACTTTGTCAGTTGATGCATCATGGGTCTTCGGAGTAAGTTGAGGAAAAGTAGGTCACCATGACCTACTTTTCAAAATTTATGGCTTTAATTAAATTTTCAAGTACAAATTGGCTTAGAATCATAAAACTTTGTCAGTTGATGCATCTTGACTCCATGGAGTATGACAACTGAAAAGTAGGTCACCCTGACCTACTTTTGAAATTTTATGACTGTATTTAATATTTTGGGTACTGTTTGGTTTAGAATCATCAAAATTTGTCAATTGATATATTTTGGGTTGTCGGAGTAGGTCGAATGAAAAGTAGGTCACCGTGACCTACTTTTTCAATTTATATGACTTTAATTAAATATTTCGGGTACTAATTGGCTTAGAATCATCAAACTTTATCAGTTGATGCATCTTGGGTCTTTGGAGTATGACAACTGAAAAGTAAGTCACCATGACCTACTTTTGAAAATTTATGGCTTTAATTAAATATTTCAGGTACTAATTGGCTTAGAATCATCAAACTTTGGCAGTTGATGCATCTTGGGTCTTTGGAGTATGACAACTGAAAGTAAGTCACCCTGACCTACTTTTGAAATTTTATGGTTATAATTTTAAAAATATTTTGGGTATTAATTGGCTTAGAATCATCAAACTTAGTTGATGCATCTTGGGTCCTCAGAGAATGACAAGTGATAACTAGGTCACCATGACCTACTCTCAGGTACTAATTGACTTAGAATCACCTTGGGTTCTCAGAGTGTTTCATCTAAAATGTAGGTCATGATGACCTACCTATATTTGGAATTCAAGGCTATATCTAAATATATAGGATACTTAGAGGCTTTAAATAGAAGTGATAGGTTGTACAGTTTATCAGAAGAGCAATTCAAGGCCCTTGGGCCTCTTGTTTATGTTTGAATCTGATGTCAATCTAATGTCAACCTCCTTTCCATACTGAACTAGTGTACATTCACATCAGAGTGTATATTTACATCAAAGGGGGGGGGGGGGTATTACTAGTGAGACTTCTTGTTAAGTATCAGTTTGTATGGTAACATACAGTTCTAAAGTACAGTATCATGAGCTTATAAAAATGTATTTAAATGCTAATTATCAAAACTCTGCCTCTCCAAATTGAAAAGACACAAGTTAATTTAAACAGTCTAGAATACTTTGGCAAAGTAGGTCAAAGGTCAAGTAGAATGTAGCACTGATATTTTTCACAGTGTTTTACGACAAACATTGCACATGCTAAATAGCATAGACTTACTTTTCAAAAGTCAAAAATATGCTGTGTATTGGCACTATGAACTATTTTGAAAAGTATATCAAAAGTCAAATTCCTGGTTCAAAAGGGGGGGGGGGGGGGTTGAGTTGTAACCATGGTATTTTACAAAAGCCATAGTGCCAAGCAATATACAGGTGACTCTCGATCTCTCGAAGTTCAAAGGACCACAAGAAAAGTTCGAGAGATCGAGGGGTTCGAGAGATAGAAAGTGAATAAAATCCAGAATTTTCAGTTCAGATCATCATTGTTCTACTATTATTAATACCGGAAGTATATGTTGATAATGTCATTGCACGTTTTCATTCGTATTTTACAGGTAATTCACTTGATTTCAACAACAATGATCGTATTTTGAATAAATAATTTAAAAACGATCTCTTTAAGTTTCAATATTTATTTGTTCTCATTTCATGATTACATAAAACCTGAATAGCAATCGTCGGTGTGGCTTCCCCCCGGGCTTGATCAGTTCCTTTACCAGATTTCTCGTATTAAATCGGTATTTAATTCTTGAGATAGGATTTCTTGTGCAATGGTTGTCATACTGGGATTATGTACGCTCTAATAAAACTTCATAATCTATGGAAAATTATTGACGCGCCTCTTAAATTATTTTCAAAAAATTTTCGTCTCGTTGTCAAGTCAAAATATGTTGTGAAGCAATTCGTTTATGATTTACCAATTATAACCAATTAATTATTTATATATCAACACTCGGATGCTCACAGGTATAGTGTCATCTATGTAAACACCCAATTAACACCTTCATGCCAGCCCCAGGCGTTCACTGTTATCTAGGCAAGTCCAAGCTGCATTGATTTTACGCTTGATTGGCGTGTACACACGCGCAATCAAAACTTCGAGAGATAGAGAGTAAAAAGCAATGAAATGTGTGTAACGGGACCAAGGTCTTGGTTCGAGAGATAGAGAACTTCGAGAGATTGGAAGTTCGAGAGATCGGAAGTAAATTTGCTTAGTTAATATAGAGGAAAAAAACGGGACCGGAGGATCACTTCGAGAGATTGAGAACTTCGAGAGATCGGAGTTTGAGCCATCGAGAGTCACCTGTACGTGCAAAATATCCAATCCACATCTCCTATAATTTTTGAGATACAGAGTGTGGCAGATGGACAGACAGACGCTGGGTAAAGTGATCTGTAAGTGTTGCTCTGCCCTGTAGGTGACACAAAAATCAGATTCAAGTGATTTAAGCTTTATAGTCATTAAAATGGTGTGTATACTCATATTAACATTAACAATGTGGAAAACTGAGCAATTTATGTTAAAAGAGCATGATATACTGTACAGGGGATTAATTTCACGGGTTGTAATTTTCACGTTTTTCTCTAATCGGACACGATCGCGGTTTGTTGAATTCGCGGAATCGGTGTATAATAAAAATTACCTCCCTTGTCTTTATCTGTGTAATCCATAGCTAGTATATCAAGAACGACATTTATCAGCGTTACGTATTCACTTCACGAACAGGGTAGGTTTATATAAAATGCTAAGATATAGTAGTTAATTGATGATTAATCAAAACAAAAGCCATTATTAAAATTTTTTGACTATAAACGTCAAATGACTTTACGATGAGTGCAGCACTGGACCACTGGATGCTAATAGATGTATTAATGTACGTAGAAGTAGTCTATTCTCAAATTTCCAAATAAAACATTGAGGTTTAATATTTAAAACTTATTCACTGTTTCTTGAATTCACGGATTTATTAACACCGTGAATATAGCGAATATTAACACCGGGAGTTATTTTCCCCCTATACACTCAGGTATTGTAAAAAATTAATGATAAGAAATGAATTCACAGACCAGTCTTATAATTATAATTTTTTTTTTTGCGGGGGGGGGGGGGGGGGGGGGGGGGCTTAAAAGGATGAGAATCTAATATTAAGTTTAAGTGGCTTTATCATAAAATTTTTTCAATTAATATCTATATATCAGACATACTGTATATGTAGAATTTGGCATTTATATTGCAGTCAGGTTTTATCATTCAGTGACCACTCACAAGTCATATTTTTATTTTCCCAAGATTTGAGTTTTTTAGCTAATAAATTACACTTTTTATTCTTCAAGCAAGGGGAGAATACTGCCGACATCAGAACATGTGCCAAATCAAGCCATGTGGACAATATAAGGACCATTTACGGACCGTCCATTGCCAAGTAAGATTAATCTTCAATCTTTGTAACATTTATAGGATTTGTTCACCCTTGTTTGACATTTCTGGTTATTTTGAGTGGTACATGTTTATGTATGAAATGTGGCCATGAGAATTGTTGTTATGAGAATGATGAGTATGTGGCAGGTAGACGAAATTTGATTATATTTCCTATGTAACACTATTTTAATATAGAAACACACCATCTTCCCGCATACTGTTTCATTTGCAGTAAATTATTTTTGTTTATTTTAAAATATATTCTCTATTAAAATGATTAATACTTTAGAAAAAATGTTTTAGAAACATGTTTACCAAATATTTAGTCATTTATCCATTCATTTCATGATAATTTTAAGAGACACCGTGACAGAAAAAAGGGAAAATTGATAAAAGCAGAATTTTTGCAAGACACATGCAAATTTTATTCAATTATTGAAAGTATCAGGTTTCAGAAAGTTACGGGTTTTAGTACCTAAAAAATCTACTTTTATGGAGAAAAATAAAAGCAAAAATAATTTTAGTTTGCCCCAACACGAAAATATTGCTTCATTTCTTCCTCTTTAAGGTATGCATGTGCAGAAAAATTGAAGTTACCATGGTGTCAATTCCATAGATATAAATGTCGGATGATCGTGGATTTTGATATAATCTTCAAAAAAGATAATCAGAACGTATTCCTCACTTTTGATTGCTCCAATTCAATGTTGTTTAGTACAAATTTCACGCTAAAAATAAAAGACACATGACCTTGACATTGTTGACATTGACCATAATAACCACGCCATAGATATTTTTTTTTCCGGCACTTATATTTTGCAGTCTTTCCTTCCTTTACAGTGCAGTTGAGGTCTCAAAACTTCGCCTTATTCATATTTTCATAAATCTTAAAGCTTTATGATACAATTATCTTATAAGAAGAAACGAAAATTGAGTTATTCCCCTTTTCATTCACATGTTAATCGAAAGATGTTTTTATTAGATAACACAAATATATTTCCTATTAAAATGTTATTTTGTGAATTAACTTTTTATAAAAATGTTTGGAATAAAATTATTTAGAGTTAAGTATACTTATTATAGTTGATATAAGAGTACAAATATGCAAGAATAAGTTGATATCATTTTGTTGGCTGAGAGGGAGAAAGAGATCACACCACCTTAAAAGAAAAGGACCTGTCTGTGGCATTGAATTTTAAAATTTTTGGCCTGAGAAATTAAAGATTACATTTTTTTTATTTTTGACCTTACAGAACAAATTTTATCCATTATTCAGCTGTTAGTCCCTGGAGATTTGTCTCCTTAGAAACCACTCAACTAATTGCAATGAAACTTGGGCATGAAATATCCCTCAGTTTAGCAGATTCAAGTTTGTTCAATGAAAGCCCATTCTCCTTGGGGAAGAAAATAGCCCAATGTATGGACCAAAGATAATCATTTTTAGTCAAAATCTGTATATTGAGTTTAAATGATTGAGGCCTCTGCAGGGGGTAAAAGTTTGTAATGTTTGGAATACTGTAGATGTACATTTTTTCGTGGGATTCATAAATTTACATTTTGTGTGTGGTCAAGAATTTTTCATGAAAATTTGTCACAATGTACTTATTATTAAGTGTATTTGAGGCATGCCATGGTAATCCAAGAAATTTGTAAATTTCCACCTATGGATAGAACAGAAATTGTGATTAGTGTATTTATGTCCCAGTGGAAAAATGGTATGTTTACAGTAGATGTGATTGTGAAGAATCTTCAAAATGTCAAGAATATCTGGAGCACAATAAATTAATCTTTCAAAAATCCGTTTGTATTGTAGATGCAAGTGTATCCAATTATAATAACTCCCTGGGCCAGGGTGAGGCAATGATGTTGAGTCAGAATATCTGCATGATATAGGAAAATGTTTTAAAAGATCTTCTTAAGAACAGCCATTAATTGATAACCAAATTAAACCTTAAAAATTGTACATTCAGCATCCTTTTAGAATTTTGACTTGGGACTAGAACAGAATTCCAAAAGAACAATAAAACTACAATTTGTAAACTTGAGATAAAATTTAATATATTGTAAATTGATTGTTGACATAAATAATACTTTACACATAATGAATGTCAGGATGAGAAAGGTTGCTCAGATAGGTACTGTTGTCCACAGGGGTAGTAATTAAAGAGTTCCTATAAACTAATGTCTGACATTCTGGTCTTAAATCAACATATTTGGACAGTTAAAAATGTGGTGGAAATATGACAAGAGTCCATTCTAAAATTAATTGCCAAAGGGGCAGGGGGGCAGTGGATACATAGTGGTCACTCTGCAGTTTTGTTGGGTTGAGTTAAAGGTCAAATGACCAGTATTTTCTCCCACATTAACTTATTTACCTTTCTGACCCCATCATATTCCTCTTTTTACAGGGAGCAGTTAATGCTTAATGTCCATCATTGCGGTAGTCAATGACTGGTGATTTTCTCCTTCTTATTCAACTCTGTGACCATATCTTCAGTTCAGTTGGGAGTCCTTGCCATGTTTGTCCAATCTGTAGGTCACCTGTGTCACACTGAATGACCTATTTGTACTCTGGAACATCTAGCAAATAAACTGTTTACTTGATTATAAATTACTTAATAGGTTTGTTAGTGGCTGTCTACAGAAATATATGGAACTGGTCAGTCTCAATTAGAGATTAATTGATGAATTTAGTGTAAGGAGATTTCTGGTGGAGCCTTTCTGATCGAGCAGGTGTTGTCTATATCTGGGAATCCGGGTAGAGTAAAATCTAGTCTCTTACAATTGATGGTTTGTGTCAGATTAAATAGTTCTTGTTGGCTAGCCACAACTTTCAAAATAAACTTGATGTTAAGTAATTAAAACTAATTTTCTTAATTAATTAATAAATTTTATTTTCATTTTAATTTTCAGCTCACCTCAACGAAGTTGGGGGAGCTTATGTAATATACCCTTGGTATCGGCGTCCCAGGTTAAAGTTTTTGGAACAGATTTCTTTTCAAGTACTTTTATGCACTATATTAATCAGAAATGCATGGAGGATACTGCTAGTATGTTTCATTGTACCAGTCAAGAGGTTTCAGATCCTGCAATTTCAGCTGTAGAATGACGAAGTTAATGTTTTTGGAGCAGGTCTCATTTCCAAGTAACTATAAGCCCTATGTTGACCAAACTTGCATGGATGATACATCTAAGGATGCACACTACTGGACTTGCTTGGGATGCTGGATCTGACCTACATTTTCTGGTTGAGTGACCAGGTTAAAGTTTTTGGAGCAGGTCCATTTTCAAGTAATTATAAGCCCTTTATTGACCAAACATGCATGTTACATCTAGGGATGCTCACTATTTAATATTAATTAAGATTATTAATTTGGGACTTTGCCTTACTTAAAGACAACATTCATTGAGGTGAGCTCTATAATCTTTGATTACCTATGTTTATATCTTCACAATAAATTGCAGTGTCATGTCTCACTAAGATGACAATTTTATAGTCTAAAGAATAAACATAATGATTAGTGTTTTTGATGTTTTATAAGGCTGTAGCAGTGTTAATCATTTATTTAAAAAAAAACAAAACAAAAACAATGAACAAAGCTGCAGATAGGCATTTGTAAAACTCTAATACAGTCAGTTGAGAAATGTATGATGTATAATTTGTTCTTATTAATCCCTACACCACAGGAGATGCAAATCAAACATAAGGAATGGAAAAATCATTGAAATCTTTGTATCAAAGTTGACATGATTTTCTTCCTTGCACTCTAAACTGTTTATGATAGTTGAACAATATATGACGGCAGTATCATACACTGTGGCAGTGCACTTTATTCAAAATGCTCCTCCTCCTACATTTTTTGTCTGATTTCAATTGAACTTTAAATTGACGTACAACTTGACACAAGTATGAATTACTTAAAATGAACACTTGGCACAACACGTGTGATATATTCTGGTTTGTCCTTAAGATATCCAGGCTTTACAGTACATAAAGGGAATGTTTTCTTGATGTATTGATGAAGACTTCCATTGAGACAGGTGTCCCACGGGGAAGTCGTTGCTGCTGTGATGTCTATTTTGTACTTAAGTTGAACTGACTGACTGCAACTGAGTGGAAATACAAATCCTTATACTAGATATTGTACCGTAAAGAAGAGTAATTAAATCCTGAACCCTGGGGTCAAAACAGGGCTAAAATGTGTGTGTGTGAGGGGAGGAGGGGGGAAGGTGTTTCAGATTTTACACAGCACATACTGCATGTAATCAGGGAAAAATAAATTCTTTCTCTGAAAGAGAAAGGCCATGTTTGGTCATGTTGATATTGAAGCATTCAGGTGTTGATTAGTGAATTCAGTTAATAAGTCTCGACACCTAGATAATGGTGCTAAGGTTGAGCCTAGGGCTGTATCAATATATCAATATATCGATACGTATTGATATTCAAGAATGTTTCGTATTGAAAAAATAACTTCCTATGCGCATTGGGCAGGCAGTTTTTCCATATGATTAGGGCCCCGCTCTGCGGGTGCCCTATAATGATCAGTCTGTCCGTCTGTCTGTCTGTCCGTCCGAGATCTCTTGTCCGGAGCATATCTTCTCTCTCCTTGGCCCAATCTGGCTCATACTTCACCCATAGAGTGTCTTTGGGTGTGCAGTGACCTTGAACCATGTTTCTAGGTCTAAGGTCAAGGTCATAGTAGAATTATATGAAAAATCCTTGTCCGGAGCATACCTTCTCTTCTCTTGGTCCAATGTGGCTCATACTTCACTCACAGAGTGCCACTGGTCAATGGATGTGCAGTGACCTTAAACGAAGTTTTAAGGTCAAGGGTCAAGGTCAAAAATAGCCTCTCTGTTTAAATCCTTGTCCGGAGCATATCTTCTCTCTCCTTGGCCCAATCTGGCTCATACTTCACCCACAGAGTGGCTTTGGGTAAAGGGTGTGCAGTGACCTTGAACCATGTTTCTAGGTCTAAGGTTAAGGTCATAGCAGAATTATATGAAAAGTCCTTGTGCAGCGCATAACTTCTCTCCCCTTGGTCCAATGTGGCTTATACTTCACTCACAGAGTGCCACTTGTCAGTGGATATGCAGTGACCTTGAACGAAGTTTCTAGGTCAAGGGTCAATTTCAAAAATAGCTTCTCTGTTTAAAATCTTTGTTCAGTGCATAATTTCTTTCCCTAAGTCCAGTCAGCCGCAAACCTTACCAATTGACTTAGGGTACAGATCATTTGTGATTTTCCTTCCATATTTCTGATAGAGTATATGCAACAATTTTCATAGAGGATATGCAGCATTCGTGATTTTTGTGCTATTTTTTGATGTAAGGTGTTGAGCACTCGTGATTTTTGTGCCATTTTTTATTATAACGAGGATTACATAGAAGCCCTTTAGACTCAAACAACACATCCCTTAATAGTACACAAATGTTCCTCTTCAAAATAAACCCTTTTCAGCTACCTTACATTTTCATGTTCATTGCTGAAAGCAGGGCCCTTTGAGATGGCCACCATCTCAATGATATCTAGTTGTGTTAAAAAGTTGGGAATTTCAATCACCAAAGATTTTATTTAATTATTATACCTCTACTGATTTTTTCCCTATTTAACATTAGATCGTTAGATGTGACTAATTCCCTAGAAATCGTTAAGAATGGACTAATCCCCATGCATTAGTCAAGTGAGCTAATCTCTGCATCAAAAGCTAATTCCTGGTTATCCGTAATCCTCTAGATTTTACTTTTACATTGGTATGATATGTGAATGGACTAATCCCCGTGTGTTAGTTCAGTGAGCTAATCCCTGCTATGAAATCACACTACCTGAATCTTCTAAATTTTACGTTTATATTGGTATAATAAAACAGTTAAAAGTATATCATTGTGGGAGTTAGCAAGATTCCAGTTCCCCTCGACGAGGACTATTTCCCTCGGCTTCACTTCAGGAAATAGTCCTGGCCTTGGGGAACTGGAATCTTGCTAACTCCCTCAATGATATACTTTAATTGTATACTGTTTTGAATTAAAATTGATCAATGATGATGTAATCATTAAGGAGGTAGCACATCTTATTAAAGATAACATAGACAACTTCACTTAACATGTTGATTTTGTACTCGTTAAAAGTTTGAATTTGAAGTGTAATTTGTAATGACAGTAAGACAAGAACTTAAAAATGAGTTGCAAAACAATTAGTTTTTAAGTTCATGCATTAAATGATTTATATGACTTTTTTTGTTAGACTTGATAAAGAATCCAGTATATCGCATTATAAAATATTGTATTGTATCGAAATTTTTTTGCTCAATACACGGCCTAGTGGGGCCACAATTTAGGATTAACGTTTTTCTTGAGAATAAAGGAGGAACTTTTGAAAAATCATTTGATGAAGAACAGCAGTGACAAGGTTAATCAGGAGTGCTTTGTGTCTTGTTATATGTCAATTTACACATTATATTTCTGACAAAAATCTAAACAATTATGTTTTTTTTTTTAATTTATTAAAATTTATCACTGCAATAATGTTCTGAACATTCTCAATGTCAAGTAAAAGACAAGAGTATACTATACAGATTGACATTAGATAACAGTTTTACAACATTGAGACTTCCACGCAATCATGCAATGCATGAAGAGTCATTCTCTCTTCACCAAAAAATACATGGCATTCACAAAATTATATCACAAAAGTAGGAATTTTATCAACAAAAATGGATATACAGTAAAATATGCTTATATTGAAGTGCCAGGGATGAAAATTTTATTGATTTTGTTATAAATGTAATTCACTAATCCATTAATTTCTTAATACATTTAAAACCAAGGGGAATGAAAATCACTTGGCTGTAAGTGTAAATTCATCATAAGCGTGTTTGCTGTAAGCGTGTTTTACTGTATTTACTTTGTAGCAACACAGTACTGCTACATTGCCAGAAATTGTAAAACATTACCTCTACTCTTCACTTCAATTTTAGGTGTGCATTACTGCTGCAATTTATCAATACAGTTATTTGATTAGCAATTACATTCTCCTTGTAGTTGAGGTACAGATAAGTACGAGTTCTATTCCGTATAATTCATGACTTGAAGTAGATGTAAAGCCTTTAATTAAATGACATCATCTTTATTTAGAAGTTTGTTTCATATCCCAGCAATGTAGGTTAATCTTTCGTGGTTACAAATTCGTTAGAAATTAGGCTTTGAACTTTTTTACATGTACATGCATAAGAAGCTGGCCAACACAGTTGTTGCAGTAATGTAAACATATAAATGTAATGGTAATGTATACTATTTTGATGCAGTAAAAAGTATTGGCAGTAATGACAATTTTGAATATGAAGTGGTAATGTAATGCACCCATCTACTCAACCATATCACAAAGACTTTAATCATACCACAAAGAATTTACTCAACCATATCACAAAGAATTTAATCATACCACAAAGAATTTACTCAACCATATCACAAATAATTTACAATGCAGCCATACCAAAAAGAATTTATTCAACCATACCACAAAGTGGTTACATTCTCTCAACCCTGTAACAAAAATGGATGAATCCACTCAACCATTATCACAAAGTGCTAGAATTACACCCAACTATATGAAAAAAAGAAAAATGAACATTCACTGAACCATATCACATTCAGTCAAGCATATCAGTTAATTATATCACAAAGTGTAGCACTATAATTTCTATAATTTTGGACTAGCTTTTACAAGACTTAAAATGGAATTAAGAGTTCAGCACCTTAACCCAAATCACACAATAATTTCTTAAGTGGATGATGTGGAATCAGGAATTTCTACCAACATTAAGGTTCAAAACTAAAAAAAAAAAATAGACAATTTTTATTTTCTTTGGAATTTCTTATGTAAAAATAGTTTGTTGTAAGGTAATACATTACAGATTGATAATCAACACAAGTGTGTTAATGAGTATCCTTAAACTTCAGACTAATTTTTGCACTTAGTGGAGCTAAATGCTAGACTGAGTATCTACTTCGTTTAGAATTGCACAGGAATTCTTTACCTGAGGGAAGATTACTTTTCCCGACTGGCATGTGAACAGAAACTGTGTGGGACAGTTCCGTTTCACGTCTATTGCAATTATCTACTACACGATTACTGGTATCACAGTGTGATATTTCACTTGTGACTTGTCCTATAGGTTTTCCAGATGAGCTGCAAGCAGGTTGCTGAACACCATTGTTTGATACTATCACAAAACTATTATCACAAAGAGTGTTTTCACTGAGCTGCACTGTGTTTTCTTCATCATTTTGGCAGGAAAGTGCATGGAGTTCGCAATGTTCCGTTTCAGCAGTTTCATTCTGGAAAAGCACATTCATATGTATATCTCTTGTCAAAGAGTACATTTCACTTACAACATCGTTGTCACACAAAAGTGGAGCCGATGTGTCTCTGTGTATGCCAGTCGTAGGTTGGTTGGAGTTGCAGTCCGTTAAAAGAAATTTTATTGTATTTTCCGTTGACCTCCTTTTGGAATTGAAAGCAATTCTCGACTGGCTGTAGATTTCCTCTTTCACTTTCTCCTGATAGAATTTTGAACATCGGGACAGAAGTCTGAAATACCCATTCTGTACATCCTTAAGTCGCACAGCGTAAATGATTGGGTCAGTGAGGGAGTTAACTAGTAAAAGTGCATAGAGGTACTTATTTGCACGAATCAGAGTTGTGAAGAGTTTTTTCACTGTTTCAGTATTAACGTGGACTTGGATGATCATAGCTATCTGAAAAGTCATGCTAGGTAACCAACACACAACAAATGTTCCTATGATGAGAAGTGTTGTCCGCAGAGCCTTTTTGTTATGAAGTCCGTCCTTGAGAAGCATGACACATTTTGCGTTTATTTGCTTCACTTCTCGATATATCCGTATATAGATAAATAAGATAGAGACGAGACAGATCAGTGCCATTATTATCACTATATATTCTGCCTGGTACTCTGAATATAGTGTATACTCGCAAAAATTCACAAAATCATCTTTATCCGTCTTTCCAAATCCGGCCAGAAAGTTTGAGAAGCCACCAACGAATGCCGTGACCCACAAAATGGTTATCATGAGATTCCCGCGGAAGTTATTCATGATGTGGTAATAGTGGAGTGGTTGCAGGACGGAGATGTAGTGATCCAATGCCATGGCAAAGAGATTAAACAAGGAAATCAGATGTGCTGTTATGTTAATGGAGTTCACAAATTGGAACATGCATGCAGAAGTCAGTCTTTCTGATACGTTATCTAGTGTAGGTGGAATAATAGGTGCCACAACGACTTTAATAAGAATGTGCATAAAGACGCTTAGTGTCACCAGGATATCAGATACAGCTAGACTTATGATGAGTTTGGAGTGGTTCGTCAGTCCATGTGGAATATGAGCTGTAGCTGCTATAGAGATTGCATTCACAGCCAAAGCTAGGAAACACAAGATCAGAGTTATGATGTTCTCTGGTTTGGTGAAGATGTCGTCTGCTCGTTCGTGGATGTTTTGAGGCTGAAGGTTGGCCCACGTCGTAGAGTTGATGATGTTGACAAAATTGGCATACAGACCAGTGGTGTTTCCATTGTATGGGATTACAGTAGTATTTAGAGTTGTTGGCAGTTTATCCAAATCAAATGGAAAATAAATAGGTGTTTCCATGGTAATCAGTCAATCTCGGCTGTTTTTGTCAAATGCTACAAAAAATGATAAAAATTAATTAATATTAAGAGAATTTAGTATTTAAAATGTCAGAGTTCATGAAAGTAATTCTTACCCCAAGGGAATACGAAGGTGCATATTCAGAAAACAAATGCATTTGGACAAGTAAATTTTAATCTGACATATACCTAGAAAACTAATTTAAACCTTAATTTTTGTGTCACCTGCAGAGCACATTGACACTTAGGGATCACTTTATCTGTTTGTCTAGCTGTCCATCAATCTGTCACACAATATATCTAAAGAACTGTAACAGATTTGGATTTGATATTTTGGTCTTGTATTGCCTGACACTATGGCTTTTGTAAAATACCATATTACTGACCTTGGGACCATTCAACTTGACCTTTAACCTACTTTTCAAAGTACAGTGAAACTTTGTTATGTCGAACTCGATGGGACCGAGAAAAAACTTCTAGATATTTGAGGGTTCGAGATACTGAGGGTAAAATACTTAAAGAAAAGAACTTGGGACTTCCAAATCATTTTGACTTATATCCATGGTGTTGGAGATATCCGTGTTCGAGATACTGAAGTTCAGCTGTATTTACATTTACAACTCTTTTCTCTGTGACAACTTTAAAAGTTAAAGTATGTTGATTTCTGTGTTTTCTTGGTCGAGTTAGAGATAACAAGGTTTGATTGTATTTCATATCCTCTGAATTTTGAGGTGCAGGACTTGGATAATTATAATCACAGATATAACATGTTTATGAGTGTGTGACATTATACTTTAAACTGTATAATGTTACTACGAAGTTACATAAAGATTGATATAGCGAAATGGATCTTAATTCAAATGAAGTTGTAGATTGACAGTTAACTGGTTAAAGTAAAGATATATGGAATATCTCTTTTTCTTGTTATGAATATGGGGGCACAATCATTTGAATAAAATACCTAAATATTTTTTTTAATAATTTGATTTTTTCACTGAATTAAGTTTGAGGGTTGAGGAATCATTTTTCCATATGATATCGTCACATTTTATGATAAATGCTATTTCTATCGCAGTCAATGTAATATCCTTGGATGCTTTTTTGGCAGGCAAATGCATTGAACTTATGATAATACTAGTATGCAAATGAATAGTTGACCACTCTAAGATTGATATATATTTAATGATGCTTTAGAAGGCAAAACATGCATTTTTTTGGAACACTCTAGTCTAAAAAATAAATGTGACATAAATCATTTAAGCTTTGTATATGATGTCAGAAACTGACATGATTGGTGCCTATAAGAAATATATAATTCAAATCTGAGTGATTTATCAGCTTTGAAATGTCATATTTTGGAGATGTTGAATCAGGTGGTCCAACGATGCTGTTGGTCAATTTATACATCTTACTTATTAAATACATTCAACTGTTGGTCCTATGACATATCATTGTATGTGTCAAAGTTAACAAGGATAAAAAGGTTAAGATAACAAACAGTGATGGATCTCAAAAAATATCTATAAACAATACAAATCTGTGTACATGGCATAAAGCATGGACCCCTGGATATTCCTGAGGTGGGATCAGGTGCCATGGAGGAGTAAGCATCCCCTGTTAACCTGTCACACCCAGCGTGAGCCCTATGTATTGATCAGGTAGACAGAATATTCCCTAGTCAAATTCAGTTTAAAAACAAAGGCCTATAACAATTGATATGGCATGTCAGCCAAAATACGATCCAAACCCAATGATGCTTATTTTTGCTAACAAGGTCATTATAACGACCATAGAATTTATGAAATGCTGACTTTAAACAAAATTGTTGAAATGACTATAATTTAGTTCTATTATAGGTATATATAAGTGATTGGCTTGAAGGTTTGTAACTAATGCATGATTTGACGGACCTTCCACTTTGAAACAAATATTCCACATCTCGCAATCTTACTGCTATTTAAGGATTACAATGGCATATTAAAAAAAAATGCATCATTCGTAATTTTTTTAATTTTTTTTTTATTTGAAATCTGCATGACTGAATAAAAATGCAGGGCTGACAAATGCCTGGATTCAGTACTAGGTGAAAGACAATTTCTGAACTGAGTCTTAAAACAATTAAGTTTTGCAATATTTTAAAAGTTCAGAAGAGTACAAAATTCTGGAATCCATAATCCCGTTTTTATAGGGGATTATCTGCAATTTGAAATTTGTTTGTAAGCAAAACAATGTGTGCTTTGCTATGGATTTTCAATTACTACTTCATCGTGAGCTCACTCTTAATAATCATGATAATAAATAAATAAATAAATATAATTAAAAAAAAAATAAAAAGTAACAAATTTAAATATTTAAAAAAAAAAATCAAAAAATTAAGCCAATCTAAACATGGTCTCATATTATACATTTAAGTACTGACATGTATTCAGAATACTTTCAAAAATTGAAAGCAATCAAGACCAACTTTAAAGTGATTAAAAACATTATTTTATTTTATCAGTAATAAGTAGAAAACATTAGAATCAATTATAGTCTAGCTCACATCCATTTAGAGACTTTATTGTTAACTGTGCAGTCATTGTTGCATGGAAACCCAGGGTTCTACAACCATTTCTATCATCATTTAAAAGAACTTGTGGACTTAAAACAGTGGTTTGTGATGGTGGTGAACAATAGTGTACAAAATCATTTTAAAGTAATACATTAAATTATCTGTACCAAACATTTTATTATTTTTTTTTTTAATTCGAATTTTCAAAAAAAAAAAAAAAAAAAAAAAAAAATGCTGAATTGTGGTTGAAGAGAAAAATGTTTATCATTACCGGTAATTGAAATGATATTTTTTGATAAAGAATCTTAAATTTTCAAGAATTGTTTCAACTAAAACTGAAAAATTAAGAATTATAATGAAAAAAAAAAGAGAAAAAAATGGAACTATCCCATTTACAGCCCTATAAAGTTGAAGCAGTGATATATTCATTGGTGTGTAGCCACCAGTTTTAAAATAGAACATTTGATTCTTATTATTTTCTCTTCATAATTTATTCCAAATATTAAACAACAGAATTGTCATGTCATCTTGAAATATTTGTTAAGTTAGAGATGTTAATAAAACTATTTCCTACCAGAAAGAAAACCTCTCCATATTCCATAAAATTTAATCCTTTTTCACCAAATTTGATGCCATCAGGTCTGATACATGTAGTTTTTACTTATGATATCAGGCAGTGTCCATCACAAGAAACCTTGGTAACATTGTAGTGGTAGATATAACGCCCCTGTGCTATTAATTTTCAACCTCTGGACACACTGTTCAGTCTACGAGTCTCGAGAATCGTTGATTATATATTTAGAAAAAATAAACCAAAATACATTACTGGACTGGGCAGGGTGAATGTGTTCTAAAATACCACCAGGCCCAAGGCTGGCGTCCATATTAAGTAAACATCACAGAACCCCTGATGACCAGCAAAGGTTATTAATCTATATATATAACATGATTACCAGAAAACCATTTTTTCCCTGTCAGCTAAAGGTCACAGCTGTCAGATAGATAAATTTTAATCCTCCAACTACATGTATCTTTTTTTTTTTATACAAGTGGTCCATTATCTGTATCAAGGTCACTTTGTCGAGGTCAAGGTTTTTAGAAATATTATAAATGAAAGAAAAATTGTTCCTTCCAGTCCAAGGGGAGTATGTCTTAAGAAATTAGATTAGGCTGCATGAAAAACTAAGCCTTATAAAAGTTTAATAGTGTTAAATCTGAGTAACTTGCCTTGTGTTATAAATAACTATTTTACAGTAGATGACTAAATTTTTGCGACACCTTATTTTCGCGAGATAGTCATTGACTCTTTATTAGCGAGACAGAATATTTACGAATTGTGGTTACTGCTCTGTATAATTTTTAAGAAATACTTAAGTTTATAAATGTGAATTAAATTTTTGCTAGCACACTGTAAATTTAAACTGAAAATGAATGCATTAAAACTGCCTATCGAATATGGACTAACAGTGTTAAATTATAGTGTTATTTTTTGTCTTCAAAATTTTGCACAAAATAATTTGCAATAGATCATGGACTTTTTCCCACATACAATTATGTTTTCATTTATTGGTTTTTTTATGACATCTACATAAAGTTTTATTTTGGTGGTATTCATAATTTACACCACAAAGGAGTAGGTGTGTCAAAGGTGAATTCCACTAAAAATTAGTATATGTACACATAATACCTGCTTAAATTGTTCTTCTAATCAAAGGAAAATAAAGTGCATTGTCGTCATGTATCCTTAATATAATCACAAATTTATATAAATAAATCAGCTCAGAGGTAAAAAATTATGAGAGAAAAAAATAGTAACATAAGTACATAAATAGTATGTTAATAAAGTGGACTATTGGTCCGAGTTTCTTTTTGACGTAGGGGATATAAATATGTCCATTTAAGACTGGCATCAGGCTTTATTTTATGTCGATGTTTATTTTTGCTCAAGGATTTAGTGCTCTAAAGTTGTTTTATGTCTTCTGAATGTAAAATTGACACAAGCAGTACATTACTATAGTATATATATATATATCAAAATAAACAAACATATATCTGGCCTTGGTCATTATGACCAATTTTGGATCTTTCCCTGAAAATTAGAGTCATATTATTCGGCCAACTGTACCTCAGTCTGTCTCATGGAGACTAATGTATATTTTATTTATCAATTCTTTTTTTGTGTGTTTAATGTTTCATGGCAATCACTCAGGGCATATATATATATATATATATATATATATATATATATATATATATATATATATATATATATAAATATATATATATATATATATATATATATATATATATATATATATATATATATATAAACCCTCTTCCATTAAATTTTTAGTCTGAGAATTTGAGAATTCAGTAACTAGACTCTTAGCTACTACATGTAAATTATCCTGGTGCAGTTAATGATGGAAAATTTTATGTTTGTTAGGTATAAATTATGCTATTTTTGTATTAATTATGTAAAACA